AATTGTGATTTGAACAACTAAGATGTTATTAATGATTGTAAAGTTTTAGATAATATAAAAAAACGAATATTGAATAATTAGTTTTGTTTATGATGTAATTAAAATAATACATAAAACTTTAAACAATTAATATGAAATATGTATCAATTGAATTTTATTCTGACAAATTTTAGGTTATTGATATAAAACGAATATTTAAATTTCCCGGGCATTATTTCAATGTATTGGTGAGTTACCATCGTTTAGATTGATTGGTTTATAAGAAATAAGCCACGCTCCTTTAAATCTACTTTGAATAGTTTCCTACCCCGAAGACCGAAACTTTATAGAAAGTTTACTGTATATGCATGAAAAAAAATACAATGTTGTGAATTAAATTTTAATAAATGGTTTATTTTTGATGATACTGAAATTAACAAACAGCTGTCAATTTTATGCAAATTAATTTAGAAGATATTTAATCATTTTTTAACAAATAAATAATTGCAAAAAAAATTAAAAAAAAAATGACAGAGAAATTTAATAAAATTAAATATGTAATCTGCTAATTTCAGTGTCATTATTTTTCATCTAAAAGATTGAATGAAAATTGAATTAGCCGAAATCTGAAAATCTTATAGTTTATTTTATTAAAAAATTATTTTAAAAAAAATTAAAAGAAAAAATTTTACATATGGAAAATTCTAAAAATTATACGTGCAATTTTTTAAAAATATTTTTGTGGTTTTAATTTAATTAAAAAAAAATAAAATTATAAAAAATTTTTTTTTAGGTGCGCAGTAGCCTATCGGATCCGGCCCTTGCTACCAAAGCATTGGACCGGGTTCGAATCCGGCGTACACCAATGAATATTTTCAATATTTAAGTGTATTATTCTGCTCAGCCCAAGAAATACAAACGAGTTCCAACTTTAGTTTAAGGATACAATAAAAAAGATAATATTTGATGTTCCATTTATTAAAAATATGCAGTTATTTTCACATCTATTTCATTACTTTCAGATCAATAAAGTACAATAATTATAATTATTAATAATTAAAATTAATTAGACAGAGTACATGTAATCAATAGTCTCTATATAGATATCGAAAAAATTTAATTTTTCTACGATGATTTCCAAAATATATTTTTATTTTTAAATATTGCCATTTATAAAAGACCAATTACAATTACTCTATCGGAGGGCCAATTTTTCATTAAATTACATTTATTATATTATTATCATCATTATATAATTTAGTTAGAATTTATAACGTTTTATATTAAAAGATTGTGTAGTTATTGAACAAATCCAAGCTTGGCAAAAGATTCAATAAATTTAAATTGTACAATAAATATTTCTTCATTTCTTCTTTGGTTTCCTTTCGTCATTCGGAACATCAGTTTTTGAAAATAAATCGGTGCTCATGGTATTGTAGGTGCAATAATTTCTATAAATATCGATTAAGACCACTCTTAAAACACAATTAACGCTAAGTTAAATAATATAATTGCTGGCACATTTGTTCATAAATCAATAATAAATAATAATAATAAATAGTTATGCAAATAATCAAGTATTTACAATAATTATTATTATATGCTCAAAGAAAAATTTATTTTTTACTCTACTTATTATTATTATTATTTCACTTCACTTCCACACAAGTCATAGTTTTTAATAAATCGAACAATTGAAAATATTTTTTTTTAATAAACAAAGCTAGACATTTTTTTCGACTTTTAGTCAATTATTAAATTTATAATTATAATTATAATTAATAATTACGTTTTATTTGTTCAGTTTGAGTATAAAAACTTAAATTTAATGGTAAGATCTATTATTAGTTAAATTAATTGTAAATAATAATCAATTAACTAATTAATAATACGTTTGGTGTATACTTTGATTCAGAGAATTCATTTTATTTAATTAGTTTATTTATATCTCAATAAATATTAACTAAATGCTTTTATCTTCCGACGCAATTAATCATTACATTAGCTAAGCAATCAGTCTTTACCGGAAAAAAATTATTATCGCTTTATAATAAATAAAAATAATTAATATTTATATTTTTACGATCATTGTTTACTCGAATTTAATTATATTTCTTCAGGAAGACAACCAATGATTGTATTTGTACTTTTTTTTTAATCCGCCATTTTTACGCATCCCTACTCTAATGCCGGGAATTTTTAAATAGACGGCCATTTTTAATTCTTCAGGCAAAAGTTTTAACTAAATATTTCTTCCTTAAATGAGCATTTAATTTATAAAAAAATTTCTATTAAATAAAAAAATTAAACAATTATTTTTTACAACAAAAAAAAATTTTAATTTTAATTTTATGATCGTATAAAAAAAAATTTTTAAGATTGCAGTCTTTTAAAGAAGAAAGAAAAAAAAAACACGATAATTATTTTTAACCTGGCTTGACTGCGTTCATTATTTTTTAATAAACAACTTTATTATTTTTATACTTTAACACACGCTGAACACAATGGTCAAAACGTAATTAATTACTTACTTATAAATTTAATTATTTGATTTTTAAGATAAAAGTGCAACGCAATAAAATTAATATCGAAAATCTGGAATGTACTGTTAAAAATAAATGTCTATAAAAAGAGTTCAGGTCACTCTTTTCTATTGCTGTGTAAGGGCAAATTTTTTTAATTCGAGATAAAATTTTATCCGATGCTAATATATATCTGTACTAAAATAAAGATAAAAAAAATGCATGGAATTTTAATTTGAATAGTAAAAGGTCGCTCGAAAAAATCTAAACTAATGCACTAATAAATTGAAAAAAATTATGACCGACCTTTCAAAATTCGAATTTTGAACTGAAATTTTCAGAAACTTATTTTTTTTTAATCTATTAGATTATTATACCGTAACGAGAAAAAAAATTAAAAATAAAAAATTTTTGATTTTTGACGATTTTTGAAATTTTGAAAAATTTGGAGTGACCTCTTAAAAATTTTTTTTTGAGCTGTCCTTTGGTAAGGGGCTCTTAAAACATCAAAGAACTAACATTTTTTCACTCGAGACTCAAAAAAAAAAAAAAATTAGAAAAACGGTTCACCCTAAAGGCCATCCCTGCAACTTCCCGCTCATTTTGTACTTAAACGCTTCAAACTACACATTACGTTTTTGAGCTCTTCGAGCTCAAAAATATTATTTTTGCGTCAATTTGAGCTCTTCGAGCTCAAAACTCTAATAGCAGTTTAAAGACACAATTTTTTGAATTTTCAAACGGCAATAACTTTTGAATGAATGAACCGATTTTCACTGGGTTGGCGGCAATCGACGCAGTTTTTGAAGCTCCATGGAAAATTTTCAAGTTTAAATCGATCGAGCCATGAATTTCGAAGTTATTACAAAAAAACACTTTTTTCGATTTTTTTCGACAACGATATCTCACGAACGCATCAACCGATTCTAACGTTTTTGGTAAAGATCGATGGGGGTTTTCAAGGTTAAGAGCTGATTAGTTTTTGAGACCGATCGGTTCAGCCAATTCGGAGATATTTGAAAAAAATAAAAGAAAAACAACTTTTTTTTTTTCACTTTTTTTGCATTTTCTCGAAATCTACTGGTCCGAATCGGTTCAAATTTTCAGGAAATCTAAGTTTAGTGAATAATAAATAATAAAGCAATAATAATTTTATCGTGAACGGAAAAAAGAAAACTCGAAAAATTACAGTTTTAGATTGTAATTATTACAGATTTTATAAGAATTACATTGTAGAATGTAATATTTAAGGTAAAAGACCCAGATATTGACACTGGCCTAGTTGTTTGACCCTTGCAATTTTATTCTAATTAAAAAAATTAAATGTTCTCAAAATTTACAATTCAAAAATTGTATTTATTAATTTATTAGAATTGATTTGATTTTTTTAATTAAAATAAAATTACAAGTGTCAATAATTAGGCCAGTGTCAATAACTGAGTCTTTTACCTTACATTGAAAGCTCTGAAAATTAAATTAAAAAATTGAATTTAGAAAAATGTTATTTTAAACTGTAATTTTTTTAATTTTGATTACGACGAGACCGATTTTACATTTTATACGCAGAAAAAAAAAATTAATTTGAATCAAGAGAAAAATTTAAGAATTTTTTTACTCAAACCAAGAAAATGAAATTCTTCAAAATTATTTATTTGATTCAAGTAAATTTTTTTTTTTGTGTACTGTAACTATTCCTGTTTTCTTTTTTCTCTGTGGATAAAATTTTATCTCGGATTGAAAAACTGGTCCTAAATAATTATAAGGCCTAAATAAATATATATATTTATATAAAAACAAAACAAGACCATCGTAAGAAATAATAATGTGCGCGTGATAAAGATGTGAAACAACCAGAATCTACGTCCAAATTAATGAGGTAGAGGTCAATTAAAAATTTAAACTGCTATACAAGCTTGAATGAACATCGTAATAAAATAAAAGTGTTAGTTATTTTAGTTTTTGTTAATTTCAACGTAGATTTTATAGTTCTTGTTCATTTCGACGTAGATTTAGGGATTAGTTAGTTAGTTAGTTAGTTAGTTAGTTTTTTTTTCATTATCATTATCAATAATAATTAAACATTTGAATTATTTAGCCCCCGGAATTTTTCCTAAAACTTTAGACAGGTCAACACCAGTGAGTGCTTGCACCGCCGGTGGCACTTGACCCACCAGACGGGTCAGTTCATTAGTTATGCCGTCGTTACCTCCCAGAAGTACGATTTCGTCTGTTCTCGCCAGAGGGGCAGCGATCTCGGCGGCAATCTAAAAAAAAATAATAAATTAACATTTATTTCTTCTTTTAAATTTAATAAATTAATCTTACCTTAGGCATTGCGTTCAAAGCAATATTCAATATAGCTGCCTCGTTATATTTTTTATAGACTTGGGCCTTCAAACGCATTCTTTCGGCTTCTGCGGTACCAATAATGTCTAATGTTTTAGCCTCTGACTCTCCTATCAACCTTATCTTCTCGGCTTCGGCTTTAGCATTTTCAACAGTTTGCGTTCTAAAATTAAAGATTAAAAAAATTAAATTAAAAAAATGTTATCAAAAAAAAACTTGAATAAAAAAATTAAATTAAAAAATTTTATGAAAAAAAAATAAATTAAAAAATTTTATTAAAAAAATGTTACCAAAAAAACTTTAATAAAAAAATTAAATTAAATTAAAAAATTTTATTACAAAATTTTGTTAAAAAAAAATTAATTGAAAAATTTTATTAAAAAAATTTAATAAAAAAATAATTTATAGTAAAAATTACCTTTTTCCTTCCGCGACAGTGGTCATCTTATAATGCTCAGCCTCAGCAGGCAAACGAACTGTACTCTTAAGCTCGTGCTCCTTACGACGAACCTCCTGTTCTTCAACCTCTATCATCTTATGTCTCTCAACAACGTCAATCTGAATCTCCTCGTTCCTTATTCTTTGCTTTATTTTAGCCGCTTGAAGTTCATAGGCAAGCTGAGCTTCGGCTTTCTGGAAATCATTGTAGTGTTTCAAGGATTTAATAGTCTAGTTATTTTAATTTAAAGGACATTGTGGGAAAAAATAAACTTTCACTTGATTGTTTATTCTTGGGGAGTTCAATTGCATAAAGATTTTTTTTTTTTTTTTTTTTTTTTTTTTTTTTTTTTTTCCAGTAAATGGACTATATACTTACAGCTGTGTTGACTTCTTGATCGAAATTCGCTTTTTGTAGCTGAAAGAGACGGGCATTGTCTTCTATTTTAGAATCCGTGTTGTATTTGATGTCCATTGCTGTTTTTTCACATTCCGCTTCCTATTTTTTGATTTTAAATAAATAAATAATAATAAAAAAAAAAAATAATAACAATATTTATTAAAAATTAAATTAAACTAAAAAAATTACCCGAATTCCAGCATCACGATTAGCCTCAGCAACACCAATATCAGCATCACGTTTAACAGCAGCTGTCTGAGCTTTACCCAGAGAAGCTAAATATTGAACATCATCATAAACATCCTTGATAGTAAATGACAATATCTCTATTCCCATACGTCCAACATCCGGAGCAGCAACTTCGCGTACCAGTGCTGCGAATTGGTCCCGATCTTTGTAAACTTCTTCGACAGAGAGCGTACCTACACACATTATTTAATAAGTAAATTTAATTTTTTAAATCTAATTAATTAACAATTTATTAAAAAATATTATCATTATATTACCAAGAATAGCTCTAAGATGTCCCTCCAAAGTTGACAAAATAGTGCACTTAATTTCATGAGTGCTCTTTCCCAAAAACTGCTCGCTCGCAGTATGTAATAATTCATCAGCCTTCATTATCTTGCACTGGGCGACTCCAGTTACAGTCAGTGGGACACCCTGGGCTGTTTCAACGCTCTCACACACCGGGTTTAGAGTCATTACCTCCAGAGACAGACGTTGGACATCCGTGACGAACCACCAGCAGAATGCGTACCCGCCTACAATCGTTCGTTTTTTCATAGATCCGCAACATCCTCCTGTAAATTTATAATTTTATTAATTATTAATATATAAAAATAAATAATTAATTTTAAGTATCAAAATATTTTCACAAACTTATTAATAATTTTAATAATCAATAAAATTAAAAAAAAAATTTTTATTAATATAAAGTTTATAGGGTAAATGCACCAGTTGTTGACCGGTCACCAATTAGTTGACCGATGTATAAAAAAGTTAATTAATTAATATTTTACAAGGGTTTTTTTTTCTTAAAGGATTAAAATAAAAAAATATGGCATTTAATCATCATAATAAAAAATTACGCAATTAATTGCGCAGTGATTATAGATTTAAAAAAATATTCTGAGTTTGTTTACAACGCAACCAGCCATAAAGCGGTCAAAAATAACTACCGTACAATTGGAGAGTGAGTGCATTTCATAATTAATTTAGTGATATTTATCGGCACAATATCAAATATTTTAGTTTTATTATGTTAATTAATTTAAAGATCAGAATCCAACTTTTTTGAAAAAATAAAGTTAAATTATAAGTTTCAATATTATTTTAAGACCGGTCAACTATTGGATCCCGTCAGAAGCCCTTTACCCAGTAAAAAATTCATTCGATCATTTATTAGACCCTCTGATTTTATCACAATCCAATTAATCACCGTATATTTATAATACTAACTTCTTAAACTCAAAATTAAATCTGTCAAGTGTTTAAAGTACTTAAGTCATTCAATATTTTGTAAATATAAAAATAATCATTATAAAAAATGTATATTTACAATTAAAATAATACTTAAAATCTTTTTTGATTATTAAATTTTATTTTATTTAATTTTTTTTAGTGAACGGTTATATCAAAGAATGAATTATTAGAAGAAAAAATTGCTGAGCAATTAAAAAAATAAAAAAGAGTTACAAGCTAGTGTAAAAAAGCTTTAATTGAAAAAAAAAAATGGAGAAGAATAAAAAAATTTCAAGTGCATCAGAAGAATTATCGTCATCAAAATTAATTTTTGATTATTTGTGACCTAAAGAAATGTGACTTTTTGTTAATTATTGCTATTATTTATATTATTTTATGAAAAAGTACGATTTAAAATTATATTGTGTGTTTAGTTTTGTTAAAGATGTCGTTAATACTTTGAAAGTACTGCATAAATTTAATTACATACGTGTAGTTTACAAAATTACTTGTAATTATTTGAGTGGTCAATTAATTGGAGAACGGTCGGTCATTTATTGGGTTTCTTCGGTCAATAATTGGTGATTTTAGTATTTCAACATTCAAATAACAAAATTAATATAATTTTGTTAATTTTTATTATAAATAGTTATTAATTATTATTAATTAAGTATTTAACTTTAATAAAATCCATTATAAATTGGTTTTAGTAGGTTAATAGATTTTTTATAGCTTAGTACAGAAAAAGAAAACCTTAATCGGTCAATAATTGGTGCATTTACCCTATAAAAGTATAAAAAAAAATTTATTTACAATAAATTGTAAAAAAATTTTTAAAGTTTCTATTTTTAATTATAAAATTAAATATAAATATTTATTAGTGTGTAATAAATTAATAATTACACAAATAAAAATTTCTTCATTTATTTATCTACATAGATAAATAAATAATAGAATAAATAAATTGATTATTTAATAATTACATAAATAATAAATTAAAGAGAATAAAAAATAAAAAAAAAAAAAAAATTAGAAAACATTATTTGTAATTTCATAAAAGTAAATTTGTTTTAATAAAATATTTATCATCAAACATTGATTGAATAATACTAATGTATCAGCAAACAAAACTATTGAATTTAAAAAGCAATATTTGCTCAAGGATATTAAATATAAAATAACAATGTTTGTAAATTAATGTCTCTAAGAACGTGACAGTTTGCACGTAAACCTATACTAGGCGAGCATCATATCAGTGAACGTGATGAGTAGCAGGTGAGAATAAGAAATATACATTGGATGTAGGCCAATTCTTTAAACATTTATCTCTCCCATCAATTATTCATGATATCCTTAATATTTAATAAGATAATATCTGTTGATATAATAGACATTAATTTTTTCAATGGGAATATTTGAAGTTGTCATTATGTTTGATGGTAATTAATGTAATTACAGGCGCTGAAGATTGTTTTGAATACGTGGCTGTTAAACTCTCTTATTTTTTATTTAAGGACAGAGAGAATGAAATGAAGCGAGTGGGGTAAAATGACCCGTTATACAGCAGGTATGTACTCTTGGAGGCCGTACCTTGATCTCCTACTCGGTTTCAGTTATTTCAAATGATCCAGCCGGCTGGACCACTGCTTTGTTTTCAATGTCAGCCTTACAAATGTCATTGTCGCTTACTTGGAGTTTTTTTAAAATTATTTTTATATTTTTCTGAGACGTCTAAAAGTTTTTATTTTGCTTCTGGTGAGTTTATTTTTATAATTTTAATTTATAAAATTGGTCAATAAAATTTTTAAACAATGTTTTTTTTAATTAAAAAATGTTTTTGATTTTTATAATAAATAAATTATTATTAAAAAATAATAAATTAATTTTTTTTATAATAATTTTGTTATAAAAATATCAAAAATTTCTTAATTTTTTTAAATAAAAATAATTTATGAGGTTTTTATAATAAATTAATTATTAGAAAAAAAATTTACTTAATTTCTTTAAAATTTTTAGATGTAAAAATTTTTTTATAATAATCTAAAAAATTAGAAATTTCTTTTCTTCTTTTATTAAAAATAATTATTGAGATTTTTACAACAAATTAATTAAAAAAAAAATATTTATAATAATTAAAAGATATTTAATTATTTTTTTAACTTATAAATTAAAAAAAAAACATTTTTTTTAGTTCTAAAAATTGTAAAATATTAAAAAATTCAATTTTTCTAAAAATTATTAATTAAATAAATTTTAAAAATCTAAAAATAGTCATAATTTTTATTTATAATAATTATTTTTTTATAAAAATCTAAAAAATTACAAATTTTTTAATTTCTTCTTTTATTAAAAATAATTTTTGGAATTTTTATCACTAATTAATTATAAAAAAAATATTTATAATAATTAAAAGACATTTAATTGTTTTTCGAAATTTTTTAATTTATAAATTAAAAAAAAAATTTTTTTTTGAGTTCTAAAAATTTTAAAAAATTCTAAAAATCTAAAAATAGTGATAGATTTTTTTTATAATAATTAATTAGGATTAAAAATCCAAAAAATTAATGAATTTCTTCATTAAATAAATAAAGAAGATTAATCAGGTAACCTATATCTGTTTAATAACATATAATAATGTAAACAGTGCGTAAAATTTCTCAGCAATTTTTTATTGAAACTGTGTCACCTGAAAAATAGTTATTATAAATCATAAAATGATTATTTAACAATAAATTGTTTGTTAAAAATATTTGCGGTTACCTATCACCTGTTGAAGACAACACGGTTGAAGCCATAACCAACAAATAACATAATTATGTTTTTGATAACAAACGTAAAATAACAATTGTCATTTCTTCTCTATTGAATAGCAGTAGTTAACAAATAATTTGCTGGAGAAATTATTATCAAGCATTTAAATGACGACATTTGAAATTACTTAACCGTTGAAAGTTGTTGTTTAAATCAATTGTTATTCTGGAAGCATCGGTGGATTACGGTTAACCGAGCTTCGAAGATATACATGCCGAACAATCGACTCCCGGTGTCACTTGTCGATACATCCGCTCTTGGATTAACTTTGTACTAATAAAAACACTCTTTTGTAGGACAATAAGTAGTCTTCTTATTTTAATAATAAATTGTAAGTTTAATTGTGTAGTTAAAAAAAAAATAAAGTGTTAATTGGATTACTAAAAAAAATAAAAAAGGCATTAATTTTGTATTTTTATAAATTTTTAGATGAAATTTTTTAATCATAAAAATTGTTCAATTTCAACTAATTTTATTTTTAATAAATAGTAACAATTAAGTATCTAATCCAAATTTTCTTCAGGTTTGATGAGATTATTACCGGATAATTTCAACTGAACAATGGGAGTCGAGTCAACGATTGCGAATTACCTAGGCAGCGCCACCGGGAGTTTAAGCTGGTTTTTCCCCGCGCTTGCTATGGCTATTTCGTATTTTCAACTAGAAGTAATGGATAAAGAGTCCCAGCCAATTGACATGCCGACAGAATTACTTCATCCTGCTTACGACTTCATCGTCGTCGGTGCTGGATCCGCAGGTAAGAAATTCTAATGTTATATTACATATCTAGACCACATAGTAAAAAATTTTTCGTCAAATTTAACACAAAAATTTGTGTTGATGACTTTTTTTTACACAATGTGTGTTAAACATACTAAAATGTTAAATTCTACACAAACATTTTTACACTTTACACAATGAGGAAAAATTTTTTACTGTGCAGTAAAATAAGATAAGTCTCAGATCATATGTAATTTTTAGCCGAGGCGAAGCCGAGGTTGACAAACATGATAAATTTCGATTTAATTTCTTCTTATTTTAATTCAGAATCTAAAACTAATTAAATAATTTTCCATCAGGCGCAGTAGTAGCTAGCCGCCTGTCGGAGATAGAAAACTGGAATGTTCTACTGCTGGAAGCCGGAGGGGACGAAACGGAAATTTCCGACGTTCCATTGCTGGCTGGATATCTCCAGCTAAGCAAACTTGACTGGAAATACAAAACAGAGCCTCAAGGCGACGCGTGTCTTGGTAAATAATTATTATTTTACAATAAAACAAATAAATTTTCACGAACTTTCTCCATAGAAAGTCGATATCTAAGTCGCTATACTTTTTCCTGTGTGGTAAAAAATTTTTTGATTTATATTTAACAATTTTTTGTGGATGATATTGAAATTGAGAGACATCTGATAATTTTTACAATTTATTAAAATAAATAAATTATATCAAAAAAAATTTTATCTTTAGAAGCTCTAAAAAACGATAAATTGAATTTTTTAAAAATAATTTTCTAGACCTAGTTCATTTAAAAAAAAAAAATTGGTGAATTTCTGCTAACTTATCAAACAATGTCATATTTGCGATGATTTAAAAGTATTATTCTTATATTTTAAGAATTAATCTTAATTATCTAAATTATTCCTATAATTTAGATAATTAAAACCAAAAAAAGTGTTAAAAATTAATCACAAAATTTAATCTTCTCTAAATCATTCTAAAACTTTAATTTCTTCCAGCAATGGAACAAGGCCGTTGCAATTGGCCGCGCGGAAAAGTCCTAGGTGGCAGCAGTGTCCTGAACTACATGTTATACCTGCGGGGTAACCGGAAAGACTACGACATCTGGGAACAGCAAGGAAACCCTGGTTGGAGTTCCAAGGACGCATTGTACTACTTCAAGAAGTCTGAGGACAACAAGAACCCATACTTAGCCAACACGGTCTACCATTCTACCGGAGGATACCTGACAGTGCAAGAAGCGCCCTGGAGGACGCCATTGGCGACTGCCTTTGTAAAAGCTGGCCAAGAGATGGGTTACGAGATTCGGGACATAAATGGCGCCCGTCAGACGGGATTCATGATCGCCCAGGGGACCATCAGGGACGGGAGCCGCTGTTCCACCTCCAAGGCCTTCTTAAGGCCTGCTAGACTTAGGCAGAACTTGCACGTCGCCCTGAACTCCCACGTGACCAAGGTGTTGATCGATCCAACGACAAAGCGGGCCTACGGAATAGAAATGATGCGCGAGGGAAAGATGTACAGGATCCAGGCGAAGAACGAGGTCATTTTGTCGGGTGGCTCCGTCAATTCTCCGCAATTGTTGATGCTTTCGGGCGTGGGACCTAGGGATCATTTAGAACAATTGGGAATTCCGGTGATCCACGACGCAGCTGTGGGGCAGAATCTCCAGGATCATGTAGGACTAGGAGGACTGACTTTCTTGGTGAATCAAGAGGTTTCTATGGTTGAAAATCGGCTCCACAGTGTCTCTTCAGTGATGAGGTACGCCATCTTCGGCGACGGACCGCTTACTGTCTTAGGAGGCGTAGAAGGGCTCGCTTTTGTTAATACCAAGTATGTAAACGCTACGGAAGACTTTCCTGACATTGAGCTGCACTTTATCTCCGGATCGACGAATTCAGACGGTGGAAGACAGATCAGGAAGGTCCATGGGATCACTCAGAGGTTCTACGACGCAGTTTTTGGGGAAATCAGCAACCGGGATGTGTGGAGTGTCATTCCGATGCTGCTCAGGCCCAAAAGCAAGGGTTTGATCAGGTTGAGGAGCAAGAACCCCTTCGACCATCCTTTGATCTATCCGAATTACTTCAAGGAGCCGGAAGACATTGCCACGCTGGTAGAGGGCGTTAAAATTGGCGTTGCGTTAAGTAGGACAGCCGCGTTTAGAAAGTATGGAAGCGAGTTGAATCCAAAACCTTTCCCCGGCTGCCAGCATATCCCGCTTTACACTGATCCGTACTGGGAGTGCATGATTAGGCATTATTCCGCGACTATTTATCATCCGGTGGGAACTTGCAAGATGGGGCCCAGTTGGGACAGTGAGGCTGTCGTTGATCCTAAGCTTAGGGTCTATGGAGTTACTGGGTTGAGGGTTATTGATGCTTCTATCATGCCGAATTTAGTCAGTGGGAATACTAATGCTCCTGTGATTATGATTGGGGAAAAGGGGGCCGATATGATTAAGGAATTTTGGCACAAAAGGAAACATGGGTTGTGATTTTCTTTAGTTAGTTGGGAGGATTTGGGGGATAAAGTGACCTCCAAATGACAAGACTGACTTTATTGTTTGTAGGGTTAGATTTGTTGGGCGTAGAATGGGAGGTTAAGTTGGTTTAAGAGAATTTTAAATTGTTCTTATGAAAGTAACTGTGGAAAATTTTTTTTGATATGGTCTGATGTGTTTTTAGATAATTTTTTTTAAGTAGTGTTAAAAATTTCCAACAGGTGGCGCATGGTCGCTAAATTATCTCGTTAGAAGAGAGTTCATTTCTGGAATATAATTATTTTTATTTGTCCTTGGTTTTTTATTTAATCGATTATTAAGCGAATCTTTGTCTAACACAAGACAATTTTTTAAAAATAAAAAATTATACTTTATCAGAAAATTTAATCAAGGGTATACTGTAGAATTTAAGCAAATTTTCTTGATTCAAATTAACTTTTCATTCTACGTAATTTCAAAGTTCTATCAAATCTTATTTAATTTTGTATATTATATATTTAATTTGTTTATAAATAAAGTTACTTATAAATAAAATAATGGATTTAATTATAATTTAGAAAAATTGATAATTAAGATAAAAACACTGGCAATTAAATTAAAATTAAAATAATTGTTTTTTATACTAACAATTTATTTATTTTGTTAACAATAAAAATAAAAAATTACCGACCACAATTGGGTGTAAAATAAATAAAAATCTTGAATTCTTTATTGAGCAGTAATTTGGTTCGTTTTTCGCTGAAATCTCACAAGTGTCCTATCACACATAAAACCTTACATGTTTTTTTTTTTTTTTCGGCGGTTATATCAAAAGCAGAGTATAAGATAGCGGACACATCCTGTGACAACGTACTCAGTTGCCCATGAAACCTCGCTTAGAACATCATGCGTAAGTAATTTCCATCAATATTAATACTTAAACCCAAATTTTTCTATGATAAAAACTTTCTCTTAATTGATATTCAAAATTTTCAATGAAACAATTTCCATCTCTATAAAATTCTCGAGTCACAGTTTTTGTTACCAAACTCTTCCAAGCTAGACCGTTGCTTATGAAAATTTTTGTGCATATTTGGTAGGTCTAAGAATCGTAAAATATTTTTTAAACCTCTAAGTGATAAGAATGGCACTTGTAGTAAGTTAGTTATTGTTTATTTAACTAAAAAAATATTGTATAGAAACAATGTATACGGATAAACAAAGTTTGCCAGGTCAGCTAGTAATTATGTAATAAATTAAGCCGATAACTAATAACATAATTGTACTTTAGACTTACAGAAGTTTAACTCGGTGTAAATGTGTCTGCTTAGCAGTGTTTGGATAACAAAACCACCTTCAAGTTTAAACAAAATGGAAAAAGGGATCATATTTCTGACGCTGTTGAAAGCTGGAGCGATGTCATCATCACTGCACTCGGTAAATAAGCAATCTTATCAAATATTAGCTTTACTTTAAATTTTCACCTCCTGCAAAAACGCATAAATGCATAAATTCACAGTAGCCTCAATAAAAGTTCATCTTAATTAAATTTAAGCGATGGGAATTGTGGATGCGGGTGTTATCAAGTGTGCCAAGGTACGTAATGTGGGCCACAGCCCCAAATTTCGGTATATTTAAGCAGTCGTGCTGTTACCAGTTGATTGATGTCGTTGTCGTTGTCAACATGGAGTCATTACCGATAAACTACTCTGTAATAATTTATTTTGTCTAGTTATTGTCATAGTAATTGCCAAATAGTAAGTAGTAACTGATTAGATTATTCACTATCAATTTTATTTTTTATTTTTACAGCTGGAGTACGTCCCGGAGTGGAATGTAACTTACGCGTGTGAGATGTTTGACGCGAACAATAAGTGCCAATTTGAAGACATAATTTATTCTCCGAGAGCGTGTGGGCAGAATATGACAGCGTTTATGCTGATGCTTCAGACTTTGATGGTATCAACGTGTGATATTGCGGATCCGTGTCGACGAACTGGAACTAATACTATCAAGGATGATGAAGTGTAAGTGATGATAATAAAACATTTCTTCTTCAGTTTTGAGAGTAAAAATTCATTCTTTCTAGGTATGACTTTATAATCGTGGGCGCTGGAGTAGCTGGACCAGTTGTAGCGAGAAGATTAGCTGAGCAAGAGCCCTGGTGGCGAATTTTGCTGATAGAAGCCGGTCCGGAAGAGCCTACCATGACTGCTTTTCCAGCGTTCGCGTTTAGTGCCATAAATTCGCAGCTAGATTGGAATTTTACAACTGAACCGACTCAGCCGCATCCAACCGCTTGTTTGAAGTCCGGAGGAAGATGTACTTGGCCGAGAGGCAAGATGGTCTCAGGAACTGGCGGGTTGTACGGAATGATGTACGTAAGAGGCCACCCTGAGGTCTACAATCGATGGGCCCAGGCTGGAAATGAAGGCTGGTCTTATCAACAAGTTCAGCATTATTTTGAAAGAGCGGAAAATCCGGAAATTCCGGGGTTGACTTCTGGGAGTCTTTTCAAGCGGACTAAAGTTGCAGGTCCGTTGAAGATTGATTACTTTCCGTACAAGCCGCCTTTTGGCGATGAAATCCTGAAAGCTGCGTCGGAATTGGGCTACAGCACTACTAGGCTTTACGGTGAGAAGCAGACTGGGTTCATGGTAGCTCCGATGATGACTGAAAGAGGGCTAAGAGGAACCACTTCTAGGTTCTACTTACGGCCTATTGTTCACAAGTCCAATTTGAAGGTCCTTACTAATGCGCATGTGACGAAGATCATCAAGAGTCCTTGGAGCAAGAATGCTTGGGGAGTCGAATTGATTGATAAGTTTGGAGTAAAAAGGAGAATTAAGGCTGACAAAGAGGTTGTCTTGACTGCGGGAGCAGTTGGTTCGCCGCAAATTTTGTTGTCTTCGGGAATAGGCCCGAGAAATGATATGAAAAAATTGGGGATTCCGTTGTATCATGATCTTCCAGTAGGACAGAACCTTCATAACCACGTGTCTGTTGGCCTGAAGATGAGCATCAATGATACATATTATGAGGACATCACTCTTGATGCTATCAACGAGTATTTAACTAATCAGACTGGGCCGTTGACAAGCACTGGGTTGACACAGGTGACTGCTTTTCTTGAGAGTTCCTTCGCTACTCCGGGAGTTCCCGATATACAGGTCTTCTTTGATGGCTTTAGTTCCTCTTGTCCGAGAACTGGGCAAGCTCATGAATGCTTTGATGGAAGCTTCGGTGTTTGTCCGAGAAGGAGGGAAATTTTGGCAAGGCCCACTACGGTAGTTGTCAAGTCTCGAGGATTTTTGACCCTTAGATCGGTGAATCCGTTAGATTCGCCGGTGATCTATCCAAACTATTTTACTGATGACCAGGACTTAAAAGTGTTGATCGAGGGGGTTAAAAAGGTGATTGAACTTACGAAAACAGAGACTATGAAGAAATGGGACTTGAGAGTCGATGATACAGTTTTGCCGGATTGTGCTAAGTACCCTTTTGGATCTGACGCTTATTGGGAGTGTTATATTAGGATGGAGACTGGCCCGGAGAATCATCAATCCGGAACCTGCAAAATGGGACCCAAAAGCGATCCCCAAGCTGTTGTGGATAATGAATTAAGATTGCATGGGATTTCTAACATCAGAATTGCTGACGCATCGATATTTCCTAATGTTCCCAACTCAAATCCGTGTGCTGGTATCATTATGACTGCTGAGAAGGCTGCTGATATGATTATCAACACTTGGGAAGGTTTATGATATATATTTAGATAAAATAAAGTCTTTTTTTGTCAAACACTTTTACTTTTAGATAACTTATTTCGAGTTTAGATAACTTAGAATAAAATTGTTGAGGATAAATATTATGTAAATATATGGGTTAAGCTTATAATAGATGAATCTGTAATTCAAGATATCTTTACAAGGTGAGCGGTAAATAATAAGAAAGGTGAGGACTTATGTAAATAGCTATTTTAAAACAGTATTAGTATAACGTGATGTAATTTTAGAAGTTGATAGTGATTGTAAGCGATAGGTTTCAAGTGCGTAGAATATGGTTTGTAGAGCTAGTAGCTCACAGTTTGCTTGGCAGTGAACACTGAAGGATAGTCCAGGTTAATAAGGTAAGTCATAAATTTTTGAATCAATTGAAAATTTTTCTAAACCTAATCATCTCTTAGATAAAATGGACTGTTTGACTCAAACATGTGGATTGGCAGCAAACGGTTCGTCCCCACAACTATTCATCCAATTGATTCAGACTCTTTTGGTGGCGCAATGTGGCCTTGGGGGAACAGAAGAGTATCCTCGGGATCGAACATCCGAAATCTTGGAAGCTCTTGAAGAACCATTTGATTTTATAATTGTTGGTGGAGGATCAGCTGGATCGGTTCTAGCGGCGAGACTATCTGAAAAACCCGATTGGAAAGTGTTGTTGATAGAAGCTGGGACGTATCCTTCAGTGATGAGTGATGTTCCGGGCATGGTTCTGACTCTGCAAGGTTCAGAAGAAGACTACGCTTACCAAGTAGAACCTCAGAGCAATTTCTGCCTGGGAATGATTGGCAAGCGTTGCAAATGGGCGAAAGGAAAAGTTCTGGGCGGAAGCTCTGCCATCAATGCTATGCTGTATGTCCATGGTAACAATCGGGATTATGATTCTTGGGCTGTCGAGAGCGAAGGCTGGGGATACGAAGCTATCCTTCCGTATCTTAAGAAATCGGTGAATTATCCTCGTGAAGACATCCAGAAGTTTGGAGATAAGTATTTTGGAAATGATGGACCTATTGATGTTCGGAAATTCAACTACACTGATTCTGCTTTTCAAGAAGTTTACTTGAAAGCTGTTTCAGAAAAGGGTCTTCCAGTGTTGGATGCCTTCAACATGGACCGATTTGTCGGTTTTGGAAAAGCTCATGGTACTGTTGAAAACGGACGTCGCCAAAATGTGGCCCGAGCTTTTCTTTCGCCGGCTAAAAATAGGAAGAATTTATTCGTGATGACTTCGACGAGGGCGGATCAAATTTTGATGGAAGGAAATCGTGCATCGGGAGTTAAGGTCACGTTGAAGGACGGAAGAACAGTCGATTTGAGGACGAAAAAAGAAGTTGTGCTTTCTGCTGGATCTATTGCTTCTCCGCAATTGCTGATGCTGTCCGGAATTGGGCCTAAAGATGATCTAGAGGCTTTGGATATCAAATGCAAAGCAGATCTTCCAGTAGGAAAGAATCTTCAGGATCACATAGCTTGGTTGGGTCTCCAATTAGAATTTCCAAATAGGTTAGGTCAAGCCCAAACGAAATTGCCATTTAATGTGCTGGATGAAGCCTACCAATACCTTATTCACAGAAAAGGTGAGTTTTCAAATGTTGGAGGCGTTGATTTGCTTGGATTCGTTAATGTTGAAGATCCAGAGTCTGCATATCCTGATCTTCAATTCCATCACCTTTATGTTCCACAAGGATATGTGTTTAAAGTAGATGCCATGTTAGCAGCCTTTAGTGTTGATGAGAGTCTAACTGAAGTTTTTAAGAAAGCTACTCTTGATTCTGATATAGTTTATGTGATTCCAACGTTGTTGAAACCGAAAAGTGTTGGAGAACTTAAGCTTCGTAGCAAATCTCCAGGTGATCCAGTGAAGATTTTTGCGAACTACTTGACTGTTGAAGAAGATACTAAGAAGATGCTGAAAGCGGTTGAACTCGTTAAAGGTCTTCTGGATGCTGAGACCTTCAAGAACTTGGGTGTCAAATTAAGGAACTTTGGTATTCCTGGCTGCAAGGATTTCAAGTTTGACAGCTCAGAGTACTGGGAATGCAATATTAGACACACTGCTGGTACTCTTTATCATCCAGTTGGAACAGTGAGAATGGGAAGTCCTGATAGTTCTAAATCTGTTGTGGATTCTACATTAAAAGTTTTGGGAATTGAAGGACTTCGCGTTGTAGACGCGTCTATCATGCCGGTTATTACTAGTGGTAACATACATGCGGCTACTTTGATGATCGCGGAGAAGGGAGCTGATTTGATCAAGCACCAATGGGGTTCTAAAGATGAATTGTGATTGGTTATCATTTGTAATTTATGAGTAGAGATATATGTGTTAGTTAGACAGTACTTATATCCACACAATAAAATTGTATGAAGAATTATAATAAGGAAAATACAATAAACTTTCACAGTGTCAATGACATTTGGATTAATCTATTATCAATATTATAATTTATCAGCAATTTGAAGGCGCTGTGACGCGAGATTATAAATTATAAATAAAAAAATTTTTGGCTTAATGATTTTTTGTTATAATATAAATAGTTTAGTTTTAGGTGCTTTTAAAATAATATTACTATGATAGGATTAATTGTCAATAATTTAATAGAAAAATGTGACGGAACAATAATATTTATGTATAAGGAATAGATTTTCATGATCAGATCACTTATATCAAGTATTAATGTCAAACCAACTTGCACTTGAATTATTTTTTTAATCAGAAAGCGTGACGATACACTATTCAATAACTGATTATGGTATCTGTTGTTTTGAGTCGATCATTGACTTCTTTATTGTTATTATCCTGTTATTCTCGGTGAGATAAATCGATAAATAAAAATCAAGTGCACAATTCTGCAGAAAGCAATTGAGAACAGAGCAATTTGGTAAGTGAAAATTTAGTGGTAAAAATTTATCCAAATTTCTCTATCAACCGCTGTTTCTTTCAGAAAATGGACTCGTGTGTGGTTCAAAGTTGTCCATCTCCAATCAGTGGATCATCACCAGTAATATTCACCCAATTCATTCAGACACTTGTAGCAGCCCAGTGTGCACTTGGAAGAATCGATGACTATCCTCCAGATCGCACAGCTGAAATTTTGGAAATTCTTGAAGATCCATTTGATTTCATAATTGTTGGTGGCGGATCAGCTGGATCAGTTTTGGCATCAAGATTGTCCGAAGAACCTAATTGGAAAGTGTTACTTATAGAAGCTGGGACGTATCCTTCAGCTACTAGTGATATTCCGGGCTTATTTTTGGGCCTGCAGAAAACTGAAGAGGACTATGATTACCTCCTGGAACCGCAGAGCGATTTCTGCCTGGGAATGATTGACAATCGTTGCAAATGGGCGAAAGGGAAAGTTCTGGGTGGGAGTTCGACAATAAATGCTATGTTATACATTTATGGAAATAATAAGGACTTTGATTCGTGGGCAGCGGAAGGTAACCAAGGTTGGGGTTATGAGGACGTCCTTCCCTACTTTAAGAAATCGGTTAATTATCCGCATGAAGTGATCCTGAAATATGGAGACCGGCATTACGGAAGTGACGGCCCGCTGAGTGTACGCTCTTACAATTACACCGAGTCGAATATTCAGGATATTTTTCTACAAGCAGCTAAAGAAAAGGGAATCCCAACCTTGGAAATTCTCAACGGAGACCATTTTATAGGGTTTGGCAGAGCGCATGGAACTTTAAGCGATGGACGTCGTAACAATGCAGCAAAAGCTTTTCTTTCGCCGGCTAAAAATAGGAAGAATTTATTCGTGATGACTTCTGCGAGGGCAGACCAAATTTTGGTGGAAGGAAATCGCGTATCGGGAGTTAAGGTCACGTTGAAGGACGGAAGAACAGTCGATTTAAGGACAAAGAAAGAAGTTGTGCTTTCTGCTGGGTCTATTGCTTCTCCGCAATTGCTGATGCTGTCCGGAATCGGGCCTAAAGATGATCTGGAGGCTTTGGGTATCGATTGTAAAGCAGATCTTCCAGTTGGAAGGAATCTTCAGGACCATCTTGTTTGGCTGGGAATCCAGTTGGAGTTCTTGAATGGTTCCTTGGATGCTGCTAATCTTCAAAATGAAGTCTTTAATTACCTAGCGTTCAGCAAAGGCGGGCTTGCTGGAATTGGGGGAATAGATCTTCTTGGTTTTGTCAATCTTGATGATCCTGCTTCACTTTATCCAGACATCCAGTTCCATAACCTGTTCATTCCGCAAGGCAACTCTGTTCTGATGGCCGACTTGGTGAAAGCTATGGGCTTGAATCAAAAGTTGAATGACTATCTAACCAGTTTATCAAAGAATACCAGCACTATTTTCATGTGTCCTACTTTGCTGAAGCCGAAAAGCGTTGGAGAGATTAAATTACGCAGCAAGTCACCCAGTGACCAAGTTATGATTTATTCCAACTATCTTAGTGATGAAGATGATACAAGATTGATGCTCAAAGCTGTTGAGTTTGTAAAAGACTTTGTCGACTCCGAACCTTTTAAGAAATTGGGTGCTAAGTTGAGGCAGGTTGTTATTCCTGGATGTGAAAATTTTGTGTTTGATAGCTCACAGTACTGGGAGTGCAGTCTTAGGCATATGTCTAGCACTGTTTATCATCCAGTCGGAACCGCGAGAATGGGATCTTCTGGAAATCCTAAGTCTGTGGTTGATTCAACGTTGAAGGTTCTAGGAGTTGAGAGTCTTCGTGTTATAGATGCTTCGATCATGCCCGATGTTACCAGCGGAAACACCAATGCTCCCACGATGATGATCGCGGAAAAAGGAGCTGATTTGATCAAGGACTATTGGCTAAACAGAAGCTGATTTGAAGCTTTATTTTAAGAAATCTACGTCACCAATCGATTGTAGACTGAATTAATATGTTTTAATATAATTTTGATTGATGAAATAAAATTTTTTTAAGAGTAAATATTTGGTTTATGTAAATATAATTTTAATTTTGATAACGATGATGAATTAATCATTCTTTCATAAGAATTGCCCCATTTATTAACCTCAGTATTTTGTCATCGGGTTCATTGACGACAGATATTCCGTCGAGACAAAAGGTTAATTGTTATTCCAAGTATAAAGAGATTGCCTTGAAATTTTTTTATTGTTCGTAAATTTTTATCATTGACCTTAATTAATATCAGTGAAAGGTTTGAAGAATCCATGAACAAACTACACTGTAAGTACTTAATTTTTTACATTGAAGATTTTTAAATCCGAGACATACATTCAAAAAAAAATTGTAATTTATCTAGATTATGGAAAGTTGCCAATCTAACTGCACATCTCCGATCAGCGGTCCAACCCCAGTAATATTCTCTCAACTACTTCAGACACTTTTGGTCGCGAAATGCAGTCTCGGAAGAATAGACTCTTATCCTCCGGACCGCTCCTCAGAAATTAACGAAAATTCCGAGTTCGACTTTATAATAATTGGGGGCGGATCAGCTGGATCTGCTCTAGCTGCCCGATTGTCCGAAGAACCTGACTGGAAAGTGTTGTTAATAGAAGCCGGAACTTATCCTTCAGCAAAAAGTGACGTTCCGGCTTACTACTTGGATCTGCAAAGGTCCAGAGAAGACTATTCCTACAAAACAGAATCAAACAATGTTAGTTGTCTAGGTATGGTCAATAAAAGTTGTCTTTGGCCTCGAGGTTTCGCTCTAGGCGGAACTTCTGTCATCAATTCGATGATACAGATCTATGGGAACAAGGGGGACTACGATTCGTGGGCAGCTGAAGGGAATGACGGCTGGAACTACGAAGATGTCCTTCCGTACTTCCGAAAGTCGACAAACTATCCTTGGGAAATAATTGAAGCCTACGGAACTAGGTACTTTGGAAGAGATGGACCAGTGAGGATTAGATCTTATAATTACTCGGAGACAGCTCTACCAGAGATGTTGTTGCAAGCAGCCAAGGAGAGAGACATCCCGATTTTGGACATGTTCAACACCGAACGGTTTATAGGATTTGGGAGAGTTTATGGAACCATTGATAGCGGACAAAGAGTCAGTGGAGCGAAGGCTTATCTTTCTCCGGTGAAAGAGAGGAAGAACCTCTTTGTGATGACTTCTACAAGAGCTGATCAGATTTTGATCAACGACTATCGAGCAACTGGAGTCCGTGTTACGTTTGGAGATAATAGAACACTCGAATTGAAGGCTTCGAAGGAAGTTATTGTTTCTGCTGGGACTGTTGCGTCTCCTCAATTGCTGATGTTGTCCGGAATCGGACCCAAAAGTGAGCTCCAAGAATTGGGAATTGAGTGCTTAGCGGATCTACCAGTTGGCAAGAACCTCCAAGATCATTTTATGTGGGGACTCTATTTGGAATTCGATAACAAGACTAGGGTTAATAAGACTTTCGCCGATTCGCTGGATGACGCTTATGAGTATCTAGCTCACAATGACGGAATACTTGCTACTATTGGGAGATCGGATGTCCACGCGTTTGTTAATCTGGAAAATCCTGACGCGATTTATCCGGATATACAGTTAATTACCAGTACCTTTCCAAAAGGATCTACTGAGAAGTTCAATACGCTGCTGAAAAGTTACGATTTTACTGATGAGATTAGAAGTTATTTTGTTGATATAGTGAAATCTAAGGATGTTATTTTGATGAGTCCGATTGTGTTAAACCCGAAAAGTGTTGGGGAAATAAAGCTCCGTAGTAAGTCACCAGAAGACAGGGTTAGAATTTTTCCAAATCATCTAGGGGATGATCGAGACAAAGATACGTTGCTTAGAAATGTCGAGTTTGTCAAAAACTTGACCAATACTGAACCTTTCAAGAATCTTGGAGTGAAGTTGGTCAACAGTACGATTCCTGGGTGTAAGGAGTTTAAATTTGACACTGCTGAGTACTGGGAATGCCATCTTAAGCATGTCGCTCATCCGTTCTATCATCCGGTAGGGACAGTGAGGATGGGAACACCTGAGAATCCGAAATCTGTCGTTGATTCGAAGTTGAGGGTTCTCGGAGTTGATAATTTGAGGGTTATTGATGCTTCAATTATGCCGTATGTTCCGAGTGGGAATATCAATGCTGCGGTTTATATGATTGCGGAAAAAGGGGCGGATTTGATCAAGGCTAATTGGATTGGGCAAATAGTTCAAAGATGATAAAGATTGTAAATTAATATAAAGTTACTTTTAGTGATATTGAGTTTTTGTTGTTGTTTGAATTTTTGTTAATAAAATTGAAGATTTATAAAAATTGGTTGGTAATTGATTTTTGAAAATCAAGTTTTTAGCAAATCTTGATTCTTTAAGGTCTTAAGATACTCAGTGAATTTTTTTGCGGACGAAATTGCATCAAGTATTACAAAATATGTCAATATTGGATAATTCGTTCGTAAGATATTGCAGTTTAATGACTTTCAAAAAGTTTGTTTGATCGAATAATTTATTCACATTTTTGAATACAAACAGTTTGAAAGTACATAAAAGTAATATTCGTCCAGACAAAAGTTAATATTAATAAAGATAAGAAACATTAACTTTACATTTTTAATATTTTAATGTTGAAGATGTACATTTACTTTTGATTTAACCAGTGATTTTTAATATATCATGCATGGCGAGTATTTGATCATTATTTTTATTTATAATTTCGAAAGGAGTGTATACTCAAAAAGATAACACTTTTTAATAAAAATTCACAAAGTTTAAACAATCACTAATAAGGTGTGAAATCCCGGTCGAGTAAAGGTTCCGAAAATTGGATAATTCGATCGGACGATACTGAGGTTTGATAACATTTGATAATGTTTTTTTTTTTATCAAATGACTGATTCATATTTTTTTAACTCAAACAGCTGAAGAGTACATAAAATTTATATTTATTCAGGCAGAGTTTAAAACCAATGCAGATAAGCAATTGTAATCTTAATTTAATACAATACTGAAAAGGAACCTTTATTTTTTATCAAAACATTTATATTTAATATCCCGTACATTTTTTGTATTTGATTATGATATATCAACAACTTCAGAAGAACTGTTTACTCAGAAAGATTACAATTTTTTTTTTTTATAAAAACTGACAGAATTCAGGCAATCGGCTATAAATCTGAACTCTCAGTCAAGTAAACTTATTTATTATGGACGGTTGTTTAGCCGCAAATTGCACATGTCCAATCAGCGGACCAACGCCAGTAATATTTACTCAGCTACTCCAGACCTTTTTGGCGGCAAAATACAGTTTCTCAAAAATAGACGACTATCCTCCGGATCGAACATCCGAAATCTTGGAAAATCTTGAAGAACCATATGATTTTATAATTGTTGGTGCAGGAACAGCTGGATCGGCTTTGGCATCGCGCTTATCTGAACAATCTAATTGGAAAGTGTTAGTCTTAGAATCTGGGACATATCCTTCGCCAACTAGTGATGTTCCTGGCCTATTTTTGGAACTTCAAAAAACTGCAGAAGCTTACACTTATCTGGAGGAGCCACAAAATGATTTTTGCTTGGGAATGATCGACAAAAGAAGCAAGTGGGCAGGAGGTAGAGTTTTAGGTGGAAGTTCTTCTATCAATGGTATGATATATCTTTACGGAAATCCTAGTGATTACGACTCGTGGGCCGCTGAAGGCAATCCTGGCTGGAGCTACGATGATGTTCTGCCTTATTTCAAGAAGGCCAACAGCTATCCACGTGAAATTATCGAAAAGTATGGCGACAAGTACTTGGGTACTGATGGACCTATCATTGTACGATCAATGAACTACACAAATCACTTCCATGATCTGTTTTTAGAAGCTGCAGCAGAAACTGGCGTGCCAAAAATTGACATTTTCAACACTGATAAGTTTATTGGTTTCGGAAGATCACATATGGCTGCAAACAATGGACACCGTGTTAGTACAGCGAAAGCTTATTTATCTCCAGTAAGAAATCGAAAAAACCTTTTTTTGATGACTTCTGCTCAGGCTGATCTAGTTTTGATAAATAATAAACAAGCTACTGGAGTTCGTGTTACACTAAAAAATAACAAAACCGTCGAGTTGAGAGCATCGAAAGAAGTTATCGTTTCTGCTGGAGCTATGGGGTCTCCAAAACTATTGATGTTATCCGGTATCGGACCAAAACAACACCTGGAAGAATTTGGAATTAGGTGTCTCGCTGATTTGCCGGTTGGGAAAAACCTCCAAGACCACTTAATTTGGCAAGGAATTGTCTTTGAATTCAAAAATCCGTCACATGGAAGTTATTCTCCAACACCCTTAGAAGATGAAGCGTACGAGTTCTTACTGCGTAACGAAGATACACTGACTACTTCCGGCGGAATAGACTTAATGGGTTTTATCAATGTTGAAAACTCTTCTTCAAAATATCCTGATGTTCAATTTCACGTATTTTACTCACCTAAAGGCGGCGATGAGGTCGCGAAGGGACTCAAGGTCTCTCCTTTTTCGCCAGAATTGATAAATATTCTTGCCAACTCATCGACTTCCGATATTTTTTTGGTAACTCCTATTTTGCTCAAACCAAAAAGCTCTGGAGAAGTTAAGCTAAGGAGTAAGTCACCTAACGATCAGGTCAAAATTTTCCAAAATTATCTCGCGGATAATCGAGATAAAGTAACTTTGTTAGAATCCTTGGAATTTGTTAAAAGTCTATTGGAAACTAAGACTTTCAAAGATCTTGGAATTAAATTACGCAAGCTTGTTATACCTGGGTGTGAAAATTTCAAATTTGATAGCCCTGCATACTGGGAATGCAATCTTCGACATACTGGGCGTTCCTTCTGGCATACAGTTGGAACGGTTCGAATGGGACCTTCTGATGATCCAAAATCTGTTGTCGATTCAAACTTAAAAGTATTGGGAATCGATAGACTACGTGTAATTGACGCTTCAATCATGCCAAATGTTACTGCCGCCAACACTTATGGTCCTACGTTAATGATCGCCGAGAAAGGAGCTGATATCGTCAAGAATTTTTGGCTTAATCATCAATGATTCTTTCAATCGAGATCAATTCTAATTTACCCTCTTAGTTTCATATTTGTACTCTAATAGTTATTATTATTAACAATAAATTTCCTCAAAATTATTGCAAATAAAGACTCTTAAAATATTATACTTTTTTTTTATTTATAACTGCAGTAGTTATTAAAAAAATCAATTAGCATTTTGACGTCTGGTTTTTTTTTATCAATCTTTCACAGCTGGCTTATGCCAAATATTTGACTTCTATAATGATAAAGTTCGCCTCTCGTCAGTTATGTCAGAGATCGAGATAAATTTCAACTTTAATTTTGTCATAATTGCAGAAATTAAAAAAAAAATCGATTTCTGATGCTTAGTCATTCTTTTTTGCTTCAATAACTCCACCAAATATGATAAAATTGGATAATTGTCTCGTTCAGACAATACTGCGGTTTGATAACATTTGAAAATGTTTGTTTTTTGTCGAATGATTAATTCATATTTTTGAATTCAAACAGCTGAAGAGAACATAAAATTCATATTTATTCAGACAGAATTTAAAACCGATGCAGATAAGCAATTGTGACTTTAATTTGATACAATACTGTAAATGTACTGTTATTTTTTATCAAAATATTTGTATTCAATATCCCATTCATTTCTTGTATTTGATCATAATAAATCAACAATTTCAAAAGAATTGTATGCTCAAAAAGATTACAATTTTTTATAAAAACTTACAAAGTTCATGCAATCACTTAAAAATGTTAACTCTCAGTCAAGTAAACTAATTTACAATGGAAGGCTGTTCACTTGCAAATTGCACATCTCCAACCAGCGGACCAACGCCAGTAATATTCACTCAGCTACTCCAGACACTTTTGGCGGCAAAATGCAGTTTCTCAAAAATAGACGACTATCCTCCGGATCGAACATCCGAAATTTTGGAAAATCTTGAAGAACCGTTTGATTTTATAATTGTTGGTGCAGGAGTAGCTGGATCGGCTTTGGCATCGCGCTTATCTGAACAACCTAATTGGAAAGTGTTACTTATTGAAGCTGGGACATACCCTACGCCAACTAGTGATGTTCCTGGCCTATTTTTGGAACTTCAAAAATCTGCAGAAACTTATTATTACCTGGAAGAGCCGCAGAATGATTTTTGCTTGGGGATGATCGACGGAAGAAGCAAGTGGACAGGAGGTAAGGCTGTAGGTGGAGGTTCTTCTGTCAATGGTATGTTATATCTTTACGGAACTCCTAGTGATTACGACTCGTGGGCCGCGGAGGGCAATCCTGGCTGGAGCTACAATGATGTTTTGCCTTATTTAAAGAAGTCAAACAATTATCCACGCGAAACTATCGAAAAATATGGCGACAAGTATCTGGGTACCGATGGACCTATCAGTGTACGATTGATGAACTACACAAGTCATTTTCAGGAGCTGTTTTCAGAAGCTGTAGCAGAAACTGGCGTGCCAAAAATTGACATTTTCAACACTGATAAATTTATCGGATTCGGAAAATCACATATGACTGCAAATAATGGACATCGTGTTAGTACAGCGAAAGCTTATCTATCTCCAGTGAGAAATCGAAAAAATCTCTTTTTGATGACTTCTGCTCGGGCTGATGTAGTTTTGATGAATAATAACCAAGCTACTGGAGTGCGTGTTACACTAAAAAATAACAAAACCGTCGAGTTGAGAGCATCAAAAGAAGTTATCGTTTCTGCTGGAGTTATGGAATCTCCAAAGCTATTGATGCTATCTGGTATCGGACCGAAAGAACACCTGGAAGAATTTGGAATCGAGTGTCTTGTTGATCTACCGGTTGGAAAACACCTCCAGGACCACGTAAGTTGGCAAGGAATTGTCTTTGAATTTAAAAACCAATCACATGCAAATGAATCTCTAACCCCCTCAGAAGATAAAGCTTACGAGTTTTTACTTCATAGAAGAGGTAAATTGACTACTTCCGGTGAACTGCAATTCATGGGTCTCATCAATGTTGAAAACTCTTCTTCAAAGTATCCTGATATTCAATTTCACGCATATCACTCACCTCAAGGCGATGATGAGGTTGCCACGGGATTCAAGGTCTATCCTTTTTCGCCAAAATTGGTTAATATTCTTACCAACACATCGACGTCCGATATTGTTTCGGTGACTCCTGTTTTGCTCAAACCCAAAAGCTCTGGGGAAGTTAAGCTAAGGAGTAGGTCACCTAGCGATCAGGTCAAAATCTTCCAAAATTATCTCGCTGACAATCGAGATAAGGTTACTTTGTTAAAATCCTTGGAATTTATTAAAAGTATTTTGGAAACTAAGACTTTCAAAGATCTTGGAGTTAAATTACGTGAGGCTGTGATACCTGGGTGTGATTTTAAATTTGACACTCCTGAATATTGGGAATGCAATCTTCGACACACTGCGCATTCCTACTTTCATGCAGTAGGAACGGTTCGGATGGGACCTTCTGATGATCCAAAATCTGTTGTTGATTCAAATTTGAAAGTTTTGGGAATTGTTAGACTTCGTGTAGTTGACGCTTCAATCATGCCAAATGTTCCTGCTGCCAATCCTGATGCTACTACGTTAATGATCGCCGAGAAAGGAGCTGATATCATTAAAAATTTTTGGCTTAATCATCAATGATACTTTCAATTAAGATCATTATTTATTCAGTCTATTAATTTGATACTTGTACACTCACAATTATTTCCAATAAAGTCTCTTAAAATATTTCTTGCTTTTTTAATTAAAATTGCAGTAATTATGGATGAAGTTGATAAATATTTTAAAGAATGAATTTTTAAAATTGCACCTGACAGATAACGAATATTTGACTTTTATACCGCTAACTTTTAAAGTTTACACTCGCTAAAATTAGCATACAAGTCAATTATATTCGGTACTTATTTGATCACTAACTGCTTTCTTTAACGATAAGATAAGATACGACATCTAAATTATACATTGATATAAAAAATTGATTATTCCCGTCAATTTAACAAATTATGTGTTGTATTCAATACCAGCCGTATCATTTATAATAGAAAATTTATTGGAGAGATTTTACTATCAAGTGTTGATACACATAAATTTTTTTACGTCATGCACCGCTATTTAATAACAATATTATTATACTTCCGTGGAAGGGGAAGGGTACGATTGTTTGCATAAAACGCAAATAAAAGAAAAGTTATAAATTCTCTAGCTCGTAATTCTTATGGAAATCGAAAGGTACGCTCGGTAAACCACACCGTAACGATAATTGGAGCAATATAAAAACAATAGTAAATAATATTTCGCTTTAGTTTTTCTAGGGCTGTAGACAAGTTGTTAGATTAGTCGAGCATCAAAAGTGTATCCATAAGTGCTTTTGTTTCCAGTGAATCTTTACAGTTTTCAAAATTTGATTAACAATGTCATGGATACCCAAAAATTTGTCCGAGCTCTGTGCAGTGGATTCGAAATTGTCCACGTGTCAGCCTCCGGCAATGATGTTTCTCGCATTGATAGCCAATCTTTTTGGGCAGTCTCGAGATGATTTTATTTTTAATCCCAGTTTTGGATACTCGCAAGAATTTAGTGTGGACAATTTGGAAAGTTTAGTGGACGTGGTAACTCCAAATTACGGATTTACAGACAACCAATTCGAATCTTCTAACATAAATAGAAGAATTTGTGAAGGTTGTGCCGAAGAAGTTAATCCGCGTTTGTGCTCAAATAATTTTCAAAGCTGGGAAACAAATGGCTTCAATAGTGATTATAATTGCGTTAAAAAACGCGCTAAAATAAAGTACCCGAAAATAAATGGATCTTCTAAAAAGTATGACTTTATTATTGTCGGAGCTGGATCTGCAGGCTGCGTTCTTGCAAATAGACTGTCCGAGATTTATAACTGGAAAGTATGAAAAATTTTTTTTAATACACTAAAAATTTGTGCGAAAGTTATTATTTGTTGTAATCTATAATTATAACAAATAATATTTTTACTGTAATTATATTTATGAGTTTAGAAAACAATGTCAGTGTCACTGTTTAAATTAAATTTAAAACTTATAGATCTTATTGCTGGAAGCGGGAATTGAAGAACCGGAAGTTACTGATGTCCCAGCATTCGCGCCGATATTAGCTGCTACTAATATTGATTGGCAGTATCAAACACAGCCGGATAAATTTTCTTGTCGGTCAAGAACAGGTCAAGTTTGTGCTTGGGCACGTGGAAAGGTAATTTATACTTTTAAATTTTTACAAAAAATAATTTTTCTGCCCTCCGGCCGGAAAGTGGCAACTTTCTGGCCGCTGCGCTAAACAAAGTTGCCACATTCCAGCTACGTCGAGCAGAAAAATAGTATACACACCTTGGCCAGTAAAAAGTAAAGCCTCAGATCACATGTTTGTCCACCTCGGCTTCGCCTCGGCCAACAATTACATGTGATCTGAGACTTTTCTTATTTTACTGGCCTAGGTATGTAATATACTATTCAAGTGTAAAAATAAAAAATTTTATTTTCAAGGTGATGGGCGGCTCGAGCTCCATAAATTACATGCTTTACGTACGAGGAAATCGTGGTGACTATGACGACTGGGCTAGTCTCGGGAATTACGGATGGGATTACGACAGCGTATTACCATATTTCTTAAAGTCTGAAAATAATGACGATCCGGACGTAAGTATTGTTAAAAAAAAACTTCCAAACAAAAGATCTTCTATTTCAAACTAAAAATCATTATTCTTTTAACTCTAGATTGTTAAAAAGAATCCAAAGTACCACAGAACAGGCGGATATCTAAATGTCGAGAGATTTTCTTACCAGGACATAAATTCCCATATTCTGTACAACGCTTGGAAAGAACTGGGCTATCCTGAGGTAGATTCGAATGCGGAAAACCAATTGGGACTGATGGAACTCCAGACTACGAGCAACGACGGGATGCGAATGAGCACAAATGCGGCTTTCATCCGCCCAATTAGACAAAAACGGAAAAATTTGGTCATCGAAACTCAAGCTCACGTAATTAGGGTAGTAATAGATCCAAAAACAAGAGTTGCAATTGGCGTTGAGTACTTGTCAACCAGAACTGGGTTCACCAAAATGGCGTTTGCTTCCAAAGAAGTAATTCTATCAGCCGGGTCGTTGAATTCTCCCAAAATTCTTATGCTTTCCGGAGTCGGACCAGAGCAAGATTTAAAATACTTGGGAATCCCGGTCATCTATAACTCCTACGTGGGTTACAATCTCCAAGACCACGCGACCCTCGACGGCGTTGTCTTTGATTTGAGCAACAAAACAAGTGTTTCACCAGACTATGATGAGATGTTGAGAGACGTAGAGTATTACCAGCACACCAAAAGCGGCCGGTTGTCCACAATGGGTCCGATAATCATAAACAACTTCGTCCAAACGCGCTTCGAAGAATCCTTCACCAGACCTGACATTCAGTACAGCTTTGAACCGATAAACGTCGACGAATTATACAAAGATCCAATCCAGTACAGGGAAACAGCTGCCTTTCCAATTACTTACTACAACGGCATAATGGCTAAGCCAATTTTGCTGGCTCCGAGAAGCCGCGGGCTTCTAAGGCTGAACTTCACCGAGCCTATTTGGGGAGACCCGGAAATTTACCCGAATTTCTTCACCGCCTACCCCGATTTGGAAACACTGATTGATGGGATAGAAACGTCATTGGAGCTGCTCAACACAGAGTCTTTCATTGAAAATAGCTGGAGACTAAGAGAAGAACCTCTGCCGGGTTGTAAACATTTGCCCTTTGGGACGCGCCAGTATTGGGCTTGCGTGATCATGGAGTACACGGGAACCATTTTTCATCCTGTCGGCACGTGTAAAATGGGGCCAAAGAGTGACAGATCAGCAGTTGTTGACCCGCAATTACGGGTCTACGGAGTTGCTTCTTTGCGTGTTGTAGACGCTTCTATCATGCCTAAGATTGTCCGAGGAAACACTAATGCACCTGTTATAATGATAGCTGAAAAAGTCAGCGACATGATTAAGTCTCATTGGTTAGACAAATGACTTTTATCATCAGCTTCGTTATCATTAATAGTCATTAAAGTCTGACCTTTCGACATTTATTACTTCTTTAATCACCTTGTTGTTTTTCACAAACTTTTTTTTATTGACTAATAAAATTATTTGTTATCTTTTTATGACTTTTGAAAGTTTAATTTTTTTTTCCCAAATCATCAATTGGAAAATATAAATTTTTTAAATTCATCGAATCCTCTATTCCGCTTTTGTGGTTATCGAACGACTGGATTACGATCGAAGGTTATAGGTCCGATAATATAACTTTCACCAATGGGATTGCACCTATTGTATATAATACGTTCAACAATTTCAATCGATAGATCACCTAATTATTGTTGAGATGAAAAAGTTTGATAAAAAATTCTTTTTTGCCTCTGCACTAAGCTGTTTTTGAATAAATTAATAAAAAAAAAGGCTCTCGATTGCATACTGGGACACACACTGGGATTGGCGCAATCAGATCTATCCCAATCGTAGAACATTGCGCACTAGTCACTAAATAGCGCCGATATCTTACATTAGGATATCTGTTAATAAAAGCTATCAGGTGGTAGGAGGTGCATTCAGCACGTAAGGTTTGTACGTCCAACGTAATTCTCAGACATCCAGTCTTTCGCTTTCTCTACTCTGTCGTGAGTCGCTCGATCTCAACACCACGTGCTTCTACCAATCGTTCAATATTTTTTCTAAAGGTAACCGATTTTTCTTTTATTTAATTACTAATTTTTAATTATTAATAATTGATCATTTTTATGGCACGTTGATTCGTTGCAAAAATTTTTTTTTCGTGAAAATAGTGTCAGAGATCAAAAAAAAATATTTTTTTAATGTTTTTGTAATTGAAATTAATCGGCGTTGCGTCGGATTATGTAAATTTTTAATGATAACAGTTATGGTCTAGTTACAGAATTAACGATTTTCGAATATGTTAATTAGAAGTATCGGAAAGAAAAAAGGGAAGACATTTTCTAAGTAATCAAAAAATTGTTTAATTGTTAGAATTAATTTGAAATTTTAGAAGCAAAGAAAATTAGGCAATTTTTGGGCTAAAAAAAAATAAATTGGTATGGAGATTGAAGGTTATTTAATAAGCTTTTAGATGCATTTTTATAAAAATTTGATAAAAAAATCACGTTCGTTAGTTATTTTAAAAAGAAATATGATATTTTGTATTTCTATGAAATCTACCTAAATTTTTATTAAATAGACAAAAAAAATAGGCAATTATTTGTTTTGAAACATTAATAAATGTAAAAATAGAAGCTTATTTAATGAATTTTATGGAAATATAATAAGTCATCTTGTTAAAAAGTTATTTAAAAAAGAACGATCAAAAATTTAATTTTTTTAATTATCCGAAAAATTTTAAATTGCCGAAATTTCTAAACTACTCGACCGATATGGTCAATTTTTTATTTTGACTTCTAGAACCATCTAAAAAACATTTAAGGTAGTACGGTTATGAAAGCAATATTTCAAGAAATTTTCGAAACTTTGAATATAAGTCATTAAATACATAATACATACACTATACCAAACTTGAGATAATTGCAATTGAAAATGACATATTTGTACATGTAACATAGGAGAAGCGTGGGAAAATGACAGTATTTTTAATTTTTTCCATCGAAGGAATTTCAAGACTTTATCAAAAAACTAGTAGTAGATTGAAGAATATGATATTTCTAACAATTAAAAAAAAAAATGAAAATTTTCTACCATGTAGTTTTCGAGATTAATTAAAAACAATTTCACTTTTAGAGGATTATTTTTAGGAGAGGGGGTACGAAAAACAGCCGCTAGTCACTGAAACCGTAGTGTGTGTGTATATGTATAGAGAATATAGTAGTCGACGAGTACAGTAACGTTAAAAAATCTTAACCTACAACCTTACACTGTTAAAAATTTCTATTGTAATTTAACAAGAAATGTATTGGAAGCTAATAGGCAAAACATTTATTTAAAATTACAATCGGGTATAGTAAAATTACAAAACATATATAGCTCAGTGAGGTTACTAATTTTACAAAACGGTTTTATAATTTTACAAATATTTTTAGATTAGCTAAGTTTGTAAAATTACAATACTTTCCTTGAATTTTACTTGAATTGAAATAATAAAAAAGAAAGATTTGATTTAATATCTGTTGTCATTTTATTGTTATGAAGCGCTGATTAGATTTGGTATCTCACGTAGACCTAATTTGTTCAACTCAGATGATTTAAAGTGAAAATAATATATACCCTAACTAAGAACCGAACCCGAGCCGCTTGCTTGTCAGACCGATACCTAACGCCCTACGCCGTACGACCGATAGGTTATTCAACATCTTAGTATTCTTATAAGCTAATCCTATGTGGTGATTGAGCATTACGGATTATTATTTATAATTTACATTAATTGTGTTATTTTATGCTGTTTATTGATAGAAAAGTCTAACATATACTCATTCAAATATATTGATTTCGAAATGATCGTTTGAGCATAATATTAAAATTTATAAAAGATAAATTATGCCTCGAATTTATTATTACAAATAAACAACCATAGACTAAAAATTAGTAAAAATAAATATGAAGGACATTGTTGTTTTTTTTATACATCAGTCTCATTTTTGTAAAATTGAAAAGTATTATTTTTAAAATTAGAAAACAGTGAAGTAGAATTACAATTCGTGTAATATAAATAAAATTTTCTGGTAACATTACATTGCACTGTGTAATTTTACAATGAAAATTATAAAAATAAAAAAAAGCTTTTTAAATTTTTTATGAGATTATTGTAATATAAATTACAATATTTTTTAATGATTTTACATACAATTATGCCGAATTAAATTACAAATAATGTTTGCAAAATTAAAAAGCTTTTTCTTGAAAATTGACAAACAGTTCTGTAATATTACAATGCGTGTTAGGTTTATACAAGAAGATTGTAAAATTACAATACATCTTAGTAGATTTCCTGACAGGTGTTGGAAAATTACATGAATTGTATTTTATTTCGCATTGTTATATACTGATTTGTAATTTTACATATCATTTGTTTTGTAATATGATTGTAATTTTACAAAAATTTTTAACAGTGTAGCTCTGTTGATACGTATAACATGGATAGCGAGTCAAAATTTTTGATCTGGATTGTCGCGGAGGTACTACCTTAAGCTGAGTTTTAATAAGAGTACTATTTTGTTACAAGCCGTGTTATTAATAAATATAAATATATAAATTGACAATTATCCAAAAATTTCCGTTATTAAATTTCTGTAAAATATAACCTGCAGTAAAAACTGTATTACGAATTCTGGAATGTAGAAACCTGATCAATTCAATAGCATACCGTTGAGAATCATTCAAAACTAAATCCAATTCCCCTAACCGGAAACAAAAAAATATCTAGGAATTTAGTGACTAAGAATGACAAGTAATTTACGTCACGGATTGCAACATACTAAAATATCTGGTGTGTTTACAGGCCGACAACCCATGGGTCCCGGCTATATATGATGAAATCAAAGTGCCCGACAGGTGTATTCTGAGAAAATTAATCTTTAAATAAATTAGTGGGTAGGCCCCATAATGGCTGTAATCGCAGCAAGTGTCGTAGGAGCGATAAAGGCAGCTGGGCTACTTTTAGTCGGTAAACTGAGTGTTTTGCCGGTGCTGATAGCCGCTTTGGCGTATTTCAATTATGACTTAATGGACCCGGAGAACCATCCCCAGGTGACGAAAAACCTGAGAGCCAAGTATGACTTCATAGTGGTCGGCGGAGGGAGCGCGGGGAGTGTCATCGCGAACAGGCTGACTGAGAATCCTAAGTGGAATGTCCTGCTTATTGAAGCTGGTGGACACGAGACAGAGATCACTGATGTTCCCATTCTCTCGCTCTATTTGCACAAGAGCAAAGTCGACTGGAAGTACAGGACCCAGCCCCAGTGGTCTGCTTGCCAGGCTATGGTGGACCAAAGGTGCTGCTGGACCAGGGGAAAGGTAATTTTTATTGAATCCTTTTCACAAGGCTTTCTAATTTCAGATTGGCCGTGAATTTTGCACAAATAGAGGTTTTAATTCTGCGGTAACTAATAGAATTAATCAGCTTTCATCAGCTGTAAAAGGATATGATATTGAAGATGCAATTTAATGTTATTTTATTTAATTTTGGTAAACCACGTGGATTGATGCAAAGATAGAGAGTGAAAGCTTTAATTTGGCAGCCCATTACAAGATCCGTCTTAAAAACCGGTTCATCAACTTTATTTCTCACTTTTATTGCGAATTTTTATCGCTTGGCAATTTAAGTTTTATTATTTTGGACTTTGAATTTTAAAATTTTGGATTGTTTAAAAATTAAATAAAAAAATAGAAAAAAAAAAAAATAAAATTTCTAGTATGAAATTAATGACGCAAAAAAATGAAGATTAAAGTTCATTGATGGTTACGAATGGGCTTAATTAAAGTGCAGTGATGAAATAGTTGCAACTCAAGACTGGCTATCTCACTTTCTACATGACCAATTCAATTAAATGTTATGTTACAGCTGGTTTATATTATTTTCCACTAAAATTACCCAATTTTTGTTGACTTTGCCGATTTTTTAATCCAGGTCTTGGGAGGCTCGAGCGTTCTCAACACGATGCTGTACATCCGCGGAAACAGGCGTGACTTCGACCAATGGGAGAGCTTCGGAAACACTGGATGGGGCTACGAAGACGTTTTGCCGTATTTTAAAAAGTCTGAGGATCAGCGAAACCCCTACTTGGCTCGGGACAAAAGACACCATAGTACTGGTATGTGTTTACATGTCAAAGTCATTATTCACGATTCGCGATTCATGATTATATTATTTATTCATAGCAATTTAATACCTGGTGTTCGTACATGTACTGTGTATACATACGGTAAAAGTTAGGAATTTCGCAAGGGAAAAGTTTTGTTTGCATGATCGAAAGAACATACGTGTTTTGTTTATTGAATTTATTCACCGGGTTATATTTTTTATTCTAAAAAATCATGATTTGTTTCAAAGTTTAAAGTATCAAAAAAATTTAGTTAATATAATGATCGATTTTTGTAAAATATGTTGTATAAGACAAAAATAAGATAACGTTTTTAAAAAGGTCAAAATTATAATTCCAAATGTTTATAATTAATTATAAAATCTATCATATGTTAATTACTGTGTTATAAAATGAGAAAACAATTATGAGAAATATTCTATGCAATTAAAGTCAAAAAAATAAGTTTTTCGTTTCAAAACTTAACTCCTAAAACTTAATTCTCTTATAACAAGATAAATTAGTGATTATTCGCCCTCTGTTGGATATTTTTAACACTAATTTTAATCAAAAACTTATATCTAAGCTTTAATTGTCAATTTTTAGATCAGGACTGATCAAAAATTTATAATTAACAGTTTTAATTGGCACATTCTCTGATTTCATTCCAAAAAATTGATATTCGTAAAAAAAACAGTAAATTAAAATATTTTTTTAATTTGAAAATTAATTTAATATCGATTGAATTTTTTTTGTTGACTTAATTGATATGTATTTAGACTATTGCTATCTAAAAATATCAAAAAATGGTCTTTAAAAAATATAGTCATCAAATTTGCTTAGAACGTCAAAATAAACATATAAAATATTATAAATATTGAACCAATCAATAATTTCAAAATCTAAATTTTCAGGAGGTTACCTAACGATCCAAGAATCTCCATACAACACTCCCTTGGGAATGGCATTCCTGCAAGCGGGTGAAGAAATGGGCTACGACATCGTGGACGTAAACGGCGCCCAACAAACAGGATTCGCGCTTTGGCAATTCACAATGCGCCGAGGGACGCGTTGCAGTACTGCCAAGGCCTTCGTAAGGCCTATAAGACTGCGTCCAAACTTCCACTTGTCCTTATGGACCCACGTCACCAGAATCCTCATAGATCCCGCCACAAAGCGGGCTTACGGAGTGGAGCTAATCCGGAACAACAGGTTAGAGGTAATCTACGCCACCAAGGAAGTTATATTATCAGCGGGTGCAATTAATTCACCGCAATTGTTGATGTTGTCTGGGATCGGAGACTCGCAACATTTGCAGGAAGTCGGCATCAAACCTCTGGTCCATTCACCTGGAGTCGGCCAGAATTTGCAAGATCACATTGCAGTGGGTGGGATTGCTTTTTTAATAGACTACCCAATCAGCATTGTCATGGGCCGGTTGGTTAACCTGAACTCGGCCTTGCGTTATGCAATCACCGAAGACGGTCCATTGACTTCGAGTGTCGGGTTGGAGGCTGTAGCTTTCATTTCCACGAAATACGCAAACCAAACCGATGACTGGCCAGATATTGAATTCATGCTGACGTCCGCTTCTGTGATGTCCGACGGAGGAACCCAAGTTAAAAACGCTCACGGGTTGACAGACGCTTTTTACAACGAAGTTTTTGGCGAAGTCACCAACAAAGACGTCTTTGCAGTCTTTCCGATGATGCTCCGGCCGAAATCTAGGGGCGAAATCAGGCTCAGGTCCAAAAATCCTTTAGAGTATCCGTTGCTTTATCACAATTACTTAACAAGGCAAGAAGACGTCGATGTCTTGCGTGAAGGCGTCAAGGCGGCCATTGCCCTGGGAGATACTGTTTCTATGAAGCGATTTGGCGCTAGGCTGCATGACAAACCTTTGCCCAATTGCAAACATATTCCTCTGTACACTGACGAGTACTGGAACTGCTATATCAGGCAATACACTATGACTATTTATCACATGAGTTGCACGGCCAAAATGGGCCCTCCGACCGACCCAATGGCGGTTGTAGATCCTCAATTGAGGGTCTATGGTGTGGAAGGACTCCGAGTTATCGACGCGTCAATCATGCCGACCATCACTAATGGAAATATCAACGCTCCGGTGATAATGATTGCGGAAAAAGGCGCGGATATGATCAAACAGCAGTGGATGAAGAGGTGGAAGAGGGATAATACTAGTTTTGTGGGGTAATTTGGGGAGCTTTTAGGGAAATTATTTATTTCAAGTGCCATGAGGTATTTAGGATAATTTTTTAAGGTGGCAGTTTTAAGAATGGAACTAATGTGCGGAATGGAAAACCAAAGGCGGGACAATTTTTTAGTATTTATTGAAAGTAATTTAAAATTTTGGGAATTTCGGGAAAAACATTGATTATTGTTAATTTATATGTTCGAATCAGAGGGTTGGTATATGTATATAGATTGTAGATAGGTTAAATTAAATTTTAATATGTGAGGTGATAGATATACTGATAGAAGATTTGTTAATGTTGATAAGCGTTATCAGCTGTTGATAAATGGTTTTTTTTAGAAGATAATTTGATAAATATTTATTTATAGCTTGTTAATTTAAATGGAATAAGATATGTTAACAGGTAATAAATCGGTCGTTATAAATAACATTGAAAGTGATAATAAATATTGAATTTGCATCAATTTTCATTAATATTAAAATAATTAAAATTCATTTTTTTATAACTGAGGAGTTGATTTTCAAAAGGGTATCTTTTCATTTTTTAAAAGACCAGTTTTTTGAAGTTTTAAATATTAATTACTTCGAAAATTATGAAGATTTATAAATGAATATCGAATTGCAGCTTCATAACTGATAGCACTTTATAGCTAAATTAAAAAAAGTTCAATAAAAATATTTATAATTGACGATAACCAGTTTTTTTGTCTCGATTAATCAAAAATGAAAAGATACCCCTTTGAAACTCACCTCTTTAACTTTTTTTTTTTTATAAAATCAAAAATTTCAAAACTGCAGCCGTTTTTTGTAAATTCTATATTGTTTTTAAAAATTTAATATAACTTATTAAAAAATTAGCTATATTTTTGTAAATATTGATCTTATAAAAATTTTTATTGATACCAAAATTGTTCAAAATTAATTTCTTTACAATTTTTGTTTCAAATATTTTCCTCTAAAATTAAATTGTGAATATATATTTATTAATTTATAAAAAATTTAATATTTTTCCAAGAAATTTTCATAAAGATTAAAAAAAAAAAATATAATTGATGGTAATTATTAATTTATTTCTAAATAATTGAATTTATTAACAATTAATAAATTCTTCTATCAGTGTAAAAAGTAACTGGCTTAAGTGAGCGGAGCGCAATTGCTCAATACAAAGTGCATACTGTACAAAAAAAATATAAATAAAATAATTTCATCTACTGGAACTAATTCGCCCGTGTTGCATACACTATTATGAGCACGAATCAGAAAAAGTTTCTTAACACGAACGCTCTCTGGTTTCAAGGGTGAATTTTATCGTGCAGTTAATGACAATTGTACATATTTTTTTTTAAAAAATAAAATTCAATGTAAATAAACGTTTTTACCTATTTAAAGAAGTCGTAATTATTTTTAAACGTTTTATAGTATCAATAAAATTTAACTATTGGAATTTATTACCTTATATTTAATTTTTAATAGTACAAAAGCCGAAAGTTGTATTTTATTTTTTCAGTTATAAAATTTTTATTATTAATTATTGAATACGAGATTTAGTGGGACGGATTTATTGGACGTAACTTTTATGCTTTTGAAGCATAAAAAGTTTTGCAATAGAGAAGCGTATTGATTTATGCAAATTAACTATCACAACAGTTCGCTTTCTAGAGGATGTTTCTTTCGGAAGTAGATGTCATCCGGTTTTGATGACTCACGTACTTGCTTTCTTTTTAAATTTCAATTTTAATGTGTGTCACGTAGACGAGAGAAATGTTTTTAAACTACTGAGTTGTATTCGAATGACAAATGTATTTATTGCGCAAAATCAATCAAAGTTTCAAATCAAAGTCACTTGTTCATTTTTAATATTGCTACATAAAAAAAAAATTAGATAAAATTATTCTTATTATTATTTAAAATAGAAATTTTTTAATCAAATGCCAAATTATCTAGTCACTTTAAAAATGGCTACAACTCCTTAAATAGTGATTTTATTGAAAAATCATAAGAGACCAAAATTGTAGCTTAGAAAATTTTCTACAAAAAACGTTTTTATATCATAGGACTATCTTCAATATTTTAGGAGATATAACAATTTAGACAGTGTTCAGATAGTTGAAAATGATAAATCATTATTAAGTTACCATAAAAATGGTCACAACTCTTGAAATATTAATTTTTGGAAAAAAATTATAAGACCAAAATTGTAGCTGAGAAAATTTTCTACAAAAAATGTTTTTATACTATGGAGCTATCTTCAATATTTTAGGAGATATAGCAACTTAAGTAGAATTTACAAACTAGAAAATGAAAAATTATTTATCTAATCACTATAAAAATGGTCATAACTTTTGAAATAATGATTTTTGGAGAAAATTATAAAAAACCAATCGTAGCTTAAGAAATTTTCTACAAGAAATGTTCTTATAGTATGAAGTTATCTTCAATATTTTAGGAGATATAATAATTTAAAGAAGTGCTTATATAATCAAAAATGAAAAATCATTATCTAGTCATTGTAAAAATGGCCATAACTCCTAAAATATTGATTTTTGGAAAAAATCAAAAGAAACTAAAATTGTAACTTAAGAAATTTTCTACAAAAAATGTTCTTATACTATGGAGCTATCTTCAATATTTTAGGAGATACAGCGAATTAATTAGTTGCTATAGAAAATGACTAACTTCTGAAATATTAATTCAAAAATATTATAATTATTATTTTTCTTCATGCTCAGAATATTCGGGTTACAAATTTCAAATTATACTATCCATGTATACAAACACAAAATTATTCGCTGGAAAGTAATTAAATTTGATTAAAGTATACAAAGGCGATCGTTACAAAATCTAAAAACATGGTATTAAGTACAACCATAACAAATAAGATAAAAAAGAAAAGCAATGAACGAGTTATGGTGTCAAGGTCAAGGAAATTACACGATTGTTATACATGATTACCAATTTCCGGGGCTCGATATAACATACATAAATATTTGTACTAGCGTAAGTGTCGACAAACATCTCAATCGCAGGTGAGACCTGCTAACCGTCACGTACACCTCCGATAATAATAATAATAATAATAATAATAATAATAATAAAAGTGATTGAGAAAGTTCCCAAAAATTTCAATCAAATTTTTTCTAATTACTTTCTTATTATTTATTTTATAATCTTCTATTAAAAATTTTTAATCTAATTTAATTAAATTAATTCAAGGAGATAATAATATATAATTAATTAATTAACAAGCGAATGTTGTTTACACGCGATTAAGTCTCGTAAATAAGGAAGAAAATAAAATGAAAATGAACGTGATAATATTTACAATTAAAAACTTTTATAATTTATAATTAAAAATATATAAGCTTATAAAGTTGTGCGTGTTGTCACGTTGGCAATGAAAGGTCTAAGTTTTAAGCGTAAAAGTAGAGAGGGAAGTTGTTTTCTCTGAGAACATTCACTCAGAGTCTTAGTATTGAATCAAAGTCGGCTTTTACCAAAGTCAATCTCAACAGTCATGTTTAATGTTATGTTGGCTTATCTTAACACTATTTTTTACTAGTTTACGCGGTCGATATTGATCAACAATCAGCTGATCAATTTGTTTTTTGTCGCCGTGAAAATCCGGGAGTGACGGAACAAAAAATTTGGGAAAAAACCGCGCAAACAACTGACAGGTGAGTGAATTTGTTTGTTTAATTTTTTTTTTTTGGTGCGCAAAGGCTTCAAGTGGGACTTTGGATTACATTAACGGGATTAATTGCTCAAATGAAAGAACTATAGTAAATAAATAAAGCAAATTATATATAGAAGCGGGTAAAAAAAAAGTAAATTGACCTACTTTCACTGTTTACCGTTGAATGTTTTGAATGGATTTCACAATTGGCAGTGCTAGCGCATCGCGGGCAAGGATAATTGTTTAATTAAAGTTTGTTTGTTATATAGTTGGTAAATATTGTCATTTGTTTTTGCAAATAATAACTGTAATTTGGTGGCTTTTTGAGCAAACAATCAAAGTGAAAGATTATTTGGTAGGAAGTTTTTAAAAGTTGTAGAATTGGTGAAATTAATACAAAACTTTTGATTGTTGGCTTTTGCTTTTCTTAGAAATCTATTTAAAATTTTATTAAATAAGTGAAAAAATAAATAATTATTCGTAGAAAATTAAAAAGTATTTAATAAACTTTCAGATAAATTTTTTCATTGCGTTATTTTAATAAGAACTATGAAAAGTTTGATTTTTTATTAAATTTCTTTAGCATTCTAAATGTTATCTAATAGGTGAAAGAATTAGATAATTGTTGGGTTGTAAAGAAAATAAACATGATAATTGAACGTTATTTAATGCACTGTTAGATGATTTTCATAAAAAATTTGATAAGTCATCGCGCTTAAAAGTTATTTAAAAAAGAAACGGTAAAAATTTGATTGCATTTCTATGAGAATTAATGAAAATTTTATAAAAATAAGAAATTTTTTTAAATGCATATTATACGAAAATTTATAAAAATTTATTATTATAGAGTTATTTGGAAAAGAAACGGTAAAAGTTGGATAGTTTTCATTTCTAAGATATTTTTCAAGAATATCTTTAAATAAGTGGAAAGATAGATCATAAAATTTTACTCAGAAAATGACCTTATGATATTTTATAAATCATCGTGCGATAATATTGCTAATTATTGTATGTATGTAATTAGATACCTGAAGAAGCCATGATCCTTGGCGAAACGTTGCTGAATTGAAATAAAGTTGACATAAAAAGCTTTGATCCGTACCTAAATTATTTATTTTATTACATTTTATAAACTTTATGAAACTTATGAAATTTTCACATAACTTTTATGGAATTTTATCTAATTATATCAAATTTTATGCAAGTTATCCTTTGGTGTTGGATAAAATTTTATAAACAATAATGTAATTTTTTCTAATTCTTATAAAATTTCGTGAACCAAGAAAATAATTTTAAAGAGTCAGTCTCTTGAATGAATATGAAAAATACTTGAATCACGTAAAATTTACTTAAATAAAAAAAAATTTTTTATACGGAGAGAAAAATGTGGAAATCATTCCTATAATTTTAATGAAATATTTTGCTATACCATTTTAGGAGCGATTACTTAAATTTTGGGAATTATACCCATAATTTTTGGGAAACGTTACTATAATTATGGGAATGGTTCCTATAATTATAGGAACGATACCTATAATTATAACTGTAATATCGGCATGATTCCCATAATATATAGGAATGGTTCCCATAATATTATAGGAATGGTTCCTATAATATTATGGAAACTATTCCTATATATTATGGGAACCATTCCTATATATTATGGGAATCATGCCGATATTACAGTTATAATTATAGGTATCGTTCCTATAATTATAGGAACCATTCCCATAATTGTAGTAATGTTTCCCAAAAATTATGGGTATAATTCCCATAATTTAAGTAATCGCTCCTAAAATGGTATAGGAAATTATTTCACTAAAATTATAGGAATGATTTCCATATTTTTTTCTCCGTGTAATATTTAGTTTAAAGGAATATATTGATATGGAGATTAGAGGTTATATGATGATCTTTTAGATGAATTTTACAGAAATTCGATAAGTTATTGCGTTCAAAAGTTATTTTAAAAAGAACGAGTAAATTTTCCGAAAAATTTTGAATTTTTTTACTTTTTAAAATATTAAAAAAATTTGACTTATTTTTAAATTTGACCAAAAAAAAAAAAAAAAAAACAGCGACGTTCTAATTAGCAAATTGTCTAACTCCATTTTAGAGAATCTTTTATTTGTACGAAAAAAACAATTAGTTCAAAATTTATTATCACTTTAAAAAATCATTTAATATCATTATTATCTAATAGAGATATAGTATTCAAGTTTGAATCATTCAAATAATTTATAATTGAATTATTGCTACATCAAAATGTTAAAAAATCACCCTCTAAAAAATGAGGAGTTTGACAAATTCCTAATTAGACCGTCGATAGTTTTATTAGGATCCGACATACAGTCTAAAAATAGCAAAATTAAAAAAAAAATCTATGATAAAAAATCATTAATTAAATTTCTACAAAAATCTACTCACAAAATAAATTAAAAAATTATCTGATTGAGTTATCACGTGTAAATTCTAATAAACTTATTTTCTGTTTCAGCGATTTTTGGGATTGAATTTTCGTAACCTCTATTTGTTCGATGACTACCCAAAGTGATACCAAAAAAACACATCAATGGGACTGGTTGGTATAGTGGGTACAAGCACTGTACTGATTCCGCTGATTGCTCTGGGATTGACGTACTACCAATACAACAGCGCGGATCCAGAATCACACCCCACGGACGCTAAAGAGGTAATTTGTAACTAACAAATCGATGTTAAAGCCGATTTATTGATTTACCGAATAATTTAGCTATTTCTAGTCTATGATTTCATCGTCGTAGGAGGCGGAAGCGCTGGAGCCGTGATTGCCTCGAGGTTGTCGGAGGTTGCAAATTGGACGGTGCTTCTTCTGGAGGCTGGCGGAGATGAGAATGAAGTTTCTGATGTGCCTGCCTTGGCTGTCTACACCCAACTTTCTGAACTCGACTGGAAGTACCAGACCTCCGTGTCAAATACCTCCGCGTATTGTCTAGCGATGATTGGCGATAAATGCAATTGGCCACGCGGAAAAGTTCTGGGAGGAAGCAGTGTCCTCAATGCGATGGTTTATGTTCGCGGAAATCGGTAAATTTTTGTTAGAGAATTTATTTTTAACATTAGTTCATTAGAAATGATAAATTTACCATCTAACTTAATAATAAGCACTAAAGTCACTGTATCTTCTAAAATATTGAAGATAGTCCTATGATATAAAAACGTTTTTTGTAGGAAATTCTCTAAGCTACAATTTTGGTCTTATAATTTTTCAATAAAACCAATATTTTAGGAGTTATAGCCATTTTTAGACTGACTAGATAATAATTTGTTATTTCCTTAAAAAGCTGTCTTTTAAAATAATAATAAAATTATTTTAGGCATGACTACGACAGCTGGGAATCTCAAGGAAACACAGGTTGGAGCTACGACGATGTCCTTCCTTACTTCATAAAATCAGAAGACAATCGTAATCCATATCTAGCAAAAACACCTTACCACGGCACAGGTGGTCTGCTGACAGTCCAAGAACCAGCTTGGAGAACCCCATTGTCAATAGCATTCATCCAAGCGGGCCAGGAAATGGGTTACACTTTCCGCGACATAAACGGCGCGAACCAAACAGGATTCATGCTAACCCAAGCAACAATAAGGCGCGGAAGCAGATGTTCAACCGCGAAAGCGTTCTTGCGACCAGTCAAGAACCGCAAGAATCTGCACATTGCAATGCACGCTCAGGTTCTCAAGCTATTGTTCAACAAGGACAAGCGAGCCACTGGTGTTGAATTCCTGCGAGACGGAAGGAAGCAATTCGCACATGTACGTCGCGAAGTTATTCTTTCAGCAGGGGCTATAGATTCTCCTCAATTGCTGATGCTGTCAGGAATTGGACCAAGAGAGCACCTGGATGATCTGGGAATCCCTATTCTGTCTGATCTTAGAGTTGGAGATAACTTGCAAGACCACGTGGGTCTAGGCGGGCTGACATTTTTGATCGACGAGCCGATAACTTTCAAAAAGTCACGCTTTCAGTCTTTTTCCGTTGCGATGGAGTACATTTTGAATGAACGCGGACCAATGAGCAATCCAGGGATCGAGGCCGTTGCCTTCGTCAATTCCAAGTTCGCTGATCGGTCTATTGATTGGCCAGACGTTCAATTTCACTTCGGGCCAAGTTCAATCAGCTCTGACGACGGAGATTACATCAGAAAAGCCTGCAACTTGAGAGATCGCGTGTACAATGTCATGTACAAGCCGCTGGAGAAAGCCGAAGCCTGGACGATTCTTCCCTTGTTGCTCAGGCCCAAAAGCACCGGCTGGATCCGGCTCAAAAGCAGGAACCCCTTCGTACATCCTGATATCAATCCGAATTATTTTGCACACAAAGAAGATATTGATATTCTGGTTGACGCGATCAGAATCGCAATGGAAGTCTCCAACACTACGGCTTTCCAGAGATTTGGATCCCGGCCTCTCACTATTCCGATGCCCGGGTGTCAGCATTTTGAGTTTGATACTTATGAATATTGGGAGTGCGCGATAAGACACTTCACTTTTACGATTTATCATCCAGCGGGGACATGTAAAATGGGACCTAGAAGTGATCCTACTGCTGTTGTTGATTCTAGGTTGAGGGTTTATGGTGTTAAAGGGCTCAGAGTCGCGGATGCTTCTATTATGCCCACTATTGTCAGTGGAAATCCTAATGCTCCTGTTATTATGATCGGGGAAAAGGTCAGCGATATGATCAAAGAAGACTGGAGGGTTGGCAGGAGTTATCCGTCGCGTGGAAGATGATTAATAGGTAGAAAAATTGTTTTTTTTTACGCAAAAAAATATTTAGAAAATTTTGTAGGTTTGTAAAATAATTTTTTAGGTTAAATTAAATTTTTTTATGTATAATTTTTGGTTACTTATGCAAAAAAAATTTTTTCTAAGATAAATTTGATTCTTAAATTTATATTTTGTGATTTTTTAAGAGAAAAATTCTTTTTTAAAAAGTTCAATTATGCAAAAAAAATTTAAAAAAAAAAAATTGAAATGGTTTTTTTGATTAAATGCTAATATTAAGTTAAAAAGATAAATTTAAGAATGAAATTGATACTTTGAAGGAGACTTAATCTTTTTTTGTACAAGCAAGATATTTTCACTGTAAAATATTATCGTTAACTATAATATTTATTTGGTTGCATAACCTATGTATAATATATAGCTGTTAATTGTCGTTACCAAATAATCGGTATGCGGTGTACAGTTGCGTAAGAGTATGCATGTAATATAAGTATTGATTTAAGTCATGAATCATAAAAAATGATAAATATGTTCTCTGAGAAGTAGAGATATTATATGTGTAATTCTTGAAGAAAGTCAAGTTATTTATAAATATATAAATGTTTTAACACTATAATCAGATGTTTTCATTTTTTTCTCCTCACATTGTGTTTGTTTGTTTGTACGAAATTATAATTAATTATACGAATTAAAGTATAATTAATCATTGCAAGTGAATCAAAGTGATTTTTGAAGCCACGAAAGCGTTTAGAAAGTTCAATTTTAGATGTTAATTAAGAATATCCAAACTGACCAATAGTTAAATCTTTAATATTAGAAAGTAATGGTAATAGATTTTATTTTTGTAGTAAAAATGTTGTTTATGGTATCTATTCAACTGTAAGTTAATTACTTTTGAAGAAAATAATTAAAAATTAATTGAGTAAAAGATAATTTGAAGAAATGAGGTAGATTTTGTTATTTTATAAAACCTGCAAATTTTTCTCACGTAAGTGGACGAATAGGTCATTTTTGTTAAAAAAAAAATCAAGTAGATTCGGAAATTGAAACTTATTTAATAATCTTTCAGATGCGCTTTTACAGAAAGTAAATAAATCAGCCCCTTCAAAAGTTATTTAAGCAAGAATCAAAAATGTGATTGCATTTATATGAAAAATTATTTAAAATATTATTAAAGAGGTAGAAAAATAAGTAATTTTTAGTTAAAAAAAAAAAATTAGACGTGAAAATTGAAGCTTATTTAATAAGTTTTCGGATAAATTTTCCAGAAATTTAATAAGTCATCCCGTTTTTTAATTAATTTAAAAAGAACCATCAAAAGTCTAATATTTAAATTTCAATTAAAGCTACAAAAATTTTCATTAAATAAATACAAAAAATAGTTATTTTCCGGTTTAGGTCAAACGACTTGCTATAAAAATTAAAGCTTACTTAATAATTTTTCAGATACACTTTTTAAAAATTCAATAAGCCATCGCGTCTAAAAGTAATTTAAAAAGTAACAATCAACTTATTATTCAAAAAATTTTAAACTGTTGTAATTTTCGAACTATATAACCAATTTTTCTCGTCTTTGACCTCAAAAATTTTTCCTAAAATACCTACGTTCAACTTCATCAATTCCCGTGAAAAACTGTAAACTCTAATCCCAAAACATTAGAAAGTAGCACTAGCAATAGACTTTATTTCGTAATAAAAATGTAAATCCAATTTATGATATTTATAAACCGATCCACTACACCTAATTTTCATGATTTCTCAGTGAAAGTTAATTCACCGTGCATGTGTTTTAAGTTATAAGCTTCGCCAATGTTCCTTCCTTCCTTCCGAGGATCTAAATTGTTTTCTTGGGTAATGAGGAAGTAAAAATCGTATGGGCGCGTTACAACTTAATAATCCGAGATAATATTGATATAAACGAATGAACGAATCCACCGGGAACGGTATCGTGGGAAATAAGCCAGCTTTCTTCAATTAATCTATCCTCTAATGCAATATAATATGCAAGGCATGCTTAAGACCGAGATAATAATTCATCTTTATCAATTTCGATATTTTAATCGTTCTTCAGGCTAGATTCAGATCCACAGAACTGATAGCGCTTGTGATCATGATAAGCTAGCAACTGTTAAGACTTTTAACTACTACCTACGAGCACAAGGTTGAAGTCAGTGGTATGGAGTTGGAAGGCAAGTGTTACCACATAATCGGGATCGGCAAGGCACAAGGATAGAAAGAGAGTGGTAGCAAACGCCATCATCATCATCATCATCATCATGCTCGAATCAGTACGGTATTGGCTAGTTGGTAGTTGTTATGTGTTATGTGCTGCAGAAAGAGACCACTTTCACTGACAAAGTTAAGAGTAAAGAGCCTTCGGAGAAGGACGCAATCAGCTCCACCACGCAACGGCCAAATGTTGCCCAGGTAGGGGTTATTATTGTTGCTTTTGAGAACCGCGACCAAAGGCATATACCCTTTAGACGTTACGAGAATTACTAGACAACTTTTTCACCTTCCTCTCATATGTGCCAGCGACATTCAGCGAGAGCTAGTGATTTTTTTAGTGGTGCTTTTTAATTATTACTTTTCAATCAATTTTGACTAGTCATTGGTGGCATTTCAAATTTTTTTGTGAACTGTGATAGCTTTTATTAATTTACGTTGATGATTTTATTTTATTTTGTTATTTGAAACAGAATTTTTTGTGTAAGTTGTTTAAATTTAAATGTTTAAAAGAATTTATATATTGAAAAAGAAATTATTGAACTACCAATTGCGTAATTTTAGAAACTTTACTTGAGTAATTATTAATGGGATACTTTTTTTTATACAGGTGCTAAGTTGTTAGCTGACGTGACAATGAGCGAATATTTATAAATGGACTGTTGGAAATGCAAGAGGTAATTAACAATACGTTTATTATTAGTATTAGAATTGGTAATTATCGTTAACGTGAATAGAAAATTATTAATTGCAATTATGGTAATAAGAATGGATGGAAAATTGTGCTGGTTAAACGGATGAAAGCAAACGATCTAATGAGCCAACATAGGAAATGTTAAGGATGACTTCCGCATTAGTTCGGCTTGCGTGTTGTAAGGATCCGAGTTGGTTTTTTTTCGCACGATCTTATGGAGTTTCCATTAAAGCTAATACTACTACGACTTATCGGCTTATATGGTTGAATGTTTGAGGAAATATATAGATGATTATAGTTCTAGTACAATCGATTTCCGTTTTTCCGTTATGTCTAGACTTCTATTTTTATTCGTTATGTAATTATAATATAGAATAATTTTTTTTTAATTTTGAAATTTAAATAAGTTTTAATGCGACATTTTTGGAAATATTTTTGATTTAAAAAACGGCTTTAGTTTTAAAAATTTTGATTTTAGAAGAAAATATTTCAAACAAAAGTTGTAAAAACATTAATTTTGCAAAATAAGAATTTTTGCAAGTTTAATATTTATTAGCAATTTTAATATTGCCTAATAAACAATTTTTTAATCAATAAAAAATTTTAATTAACAGATAATAAATCTTATTTGATAAATGATTTATTAAACATTGATCAAAATTTATTCAACCGTTTGACGTTTAAAAATAAATTAATAACTATAATTAAAGTTCATTAAATATCAACAAAATAAAAACAAAAAGAAAATTTGAAATCTAAAAGGAAATTAAATACATAACACAATAAAAACAGTAATTATTGAGTTGTAACACGATGAGTTACTCAATAAGCAGTTTAATTGATCGGTATCGATGATATTTAAAAATAAATAATTAATCGGAAGTAGTCCTAATGACATTACTTGTTAAGATAGAGTATGATCGATTGAGAAATCATAACGTAACCGTGACTTTCGTACAAAAAATGGTAGGGGAATTTAGTTTATAGAGGATAGGTGTGCGACACACCGAAACACTTTCTCCTTTTCCCCGTTATGAGATCACCGTCTACTTTTTCTGAACGAACAGGGAGCACATCCTGTTTTAATAACAAACATCCATTCTGATCTCCTTTGCTCAATCTCTTCCTTCCGTTATAATATAACAACATTAGGGTTAAACGACCTGTTACCTAACAATAACAAAAACAACAATAAATCTCAAATAAAAAAAAAATTTTCCCTATAATCGGATAGATTGGCTGCAAAAAAAACACACCTCCTTCAAACTACCCCACTTTACTTCTGATGCTTACTTAGAGAAATCCTTTGTAGTGACAGTGATAAAACTTTGGGAAGAATTGCCGGCTGAAATTGTTACTTCTTCTAGCTTGCAAGATTTTAAAAATCAAGTCTATAATTGTCTATTGAATCTTGATAATTGAAAAATAGAATTCAGAGTTATGAATCTGAGATAGTGATTAAAATTGAAATGAATTGTATTATTAGCTTCAAATTAATCATTATCTGATAAATTGATATCTTTTACTATTGTTAATCAAATATTTATCATTTTATGTACTCACGATTGTATTTATCTACTTAAGCTTATAAGCCTTGGCATTAATTAATAAACCAAATTCTAAATACTAAATTCTATAATTTTTCAGATCGTGACATAAAATGCGTCCATCTTCAACCCACACGTGGTCTGTGATGAAAAAGCTGCGCCAAAAATCACTCTAAAATGGTTCTAAGCGCCCTAATAATAGCCTCGACCCTAAAAAGTGCCCTGGGTTTGATGGGAACTGGTTTTTGGTTGGTTCCTTTGGTGATAATCGGCCTCTCCTACTACCGATACGACCAGTTAGACCCAGAGAACCGGATCATTGATCGCCACCCTCTGGATCCTCAATACGACTTCATAATAATCGGCGGAGGATCTGCAGGAGCTGTGGTGGCAAGTCGGCTGACTGAAATCCCAGATTGGAAGGTCCTCCTGCTAGAAGCCGGACCCGACGAGAACGAAATCACAGACGTCCCGTCCCTAGCAGCGTATCTCCAACTAAGCAAGCTAGATTGGAAGTACAAAACTGAACCCAGCGGGACTTCTTGCATGGCGATGAAAAACGGACGCTGCAATTGGCCAAGGGGCAAAGTAATGGGCGGATCATCAACCTTGAACTACATGCTCTACGTCCGAGGGAACAGGTTCGACTACGACCACTGGGAGGCTTTGGGAAACCCTGGATGGGGCTACGAGCAAGCGCTCTACTACTTCAAGAAGTCTGAAGACAATCGCAATCCTTACTTAAGAAACAGTCCTTATCACGGAACAGGCGGTTACTTGACCGTTCAAGAGTCTCCTTGGAGGACACCACTGGTCGTTGCTTTTGTACAAGCTGGGACAGAACTCGGCTATGAAAATCGGGACATTAACGGAGAGTATCAAACGGGATTCATGATTGCTCAAGGGACGATAAGACGCGGCAGCAGATGCTCAACTTCCAAGGCCTTTCTTCGGCCGGTTAGATTAAGGAAGAATTTGCACGTCGCGATGAATACCCATGTTACCAGAATACTGATAGATCCCTTGAGTTCGCGGGCCATGGGGGTCGAAATCTATCGCGATGGCAAGAAGCAAGTTATCAGAGCCAGAAAAGAGGTCATTTTATCAGCCGGAGCGATTAATTCTCCACAATTGTTGATGCTTTCTGGCGTGGGACATAGATACCATTTGCAAGAAATGGGAATTCCGGTTTTAAAGGATCTGCCAGTTGGAGATAATCTTCAGGACCATGTAGGAATGGCGGGACTTACTTTCCTGGTGGACAAGCCAGTCTCTATTGTCCAGGACCGGTTTCAACCCGCGCAAATCACCACTAATTATGTGATCAACGGAAGAGGTCCTATGACCACTTTGGGAGGCGTTGAAGGCTACGCTTTTATCAATACTAAGTATGCCAATGAAACGGGGCTGTATCCTGATATTCAGCTGCACATGGCGCCCGCTTCGCTGAGTTCTGATGCAGGAGTCCAGGTCAGAAAGGTTCTGAGTCTCACTGATGAGGTTTATGACACGGTTTTCAGGCCAATTACTAATAAAGATGCCTGGACGCTAATGCCGCTGCTTCTAAGGCCTAAATCCAGAGGGACTGTTAGGTTGAGGAACAGTAATCCTTTTGCTAGTCCGCTGATCAATACTAATTACTTCGCGGAGCCTGAGGATATGACTAGATTGGTTGAGGGCGCGAAACTCGCGGTTAGGATCAGTGAGGCCAAGGTTTTTAAGCAGTTTGGTTCCAGGATTCACAGGATTAAGATTCCTGGGTGCAGGCAGTTTAAATTTGCGAGTGATCAGTACTGGGAGTGTCATATCAGGCATATTACTATGACTATTTATCATCCGGTTGGGACGGCTAAAATGGGCCCGGTTGATGATCCCGGGGCTGTTGTTGATCCTAGGTTGAGGGTTCATGGGATTGATAACTTGAGAGTTATCGATGCTTCAATTATGCCGACTATCAGCAGTGGGAATACTAATGCGCCGGTTATTATGATTGCGGAAAAGGGATCTGATATGATTAAAAATGACTGGCTTGCTACCCAAAGATGATTTTGTGGTTGAACTGGAATTTGAAGATACTTGGTTTTTGGATTTTGTTTTGTACATTAAAATATTGATTAGAAAATTGCAGAAATTTTTTGAGTTTTTTAAATTCTAAAATCATCAAATGTCTCGTTATTTCAGTATTGTGGATTTGTCTGTGATTAAATCCTATTTTTTAGTGTAATTTCTAGTTTTGTAGGTGATAAAATGTTTTTTATAAGTTTTGTTGAGGAGCTTATGGGGATTGAAAAGACTTATTGTCGAGTTCGAGCTCCTCAAATGATGAATCAAAAGTGTAAATTATTATTGTAAGTTAGTTTTTATAAGTTTTTTTAATGTAAAAAGAAATTTATAAGTATTTGATTTGTAGATCAATAAAAATATATAAAGTATACTGTAAGAAAGTGCCATAAAATGGTGAGGGGGTATATTTACGACGAGGAAGTTGTAAATATAAGTTTTTAAAAAATAGATTTTGTTATAGATTATAAGCTTTAGTTGTGATTATGCCAAAGTCGGTGAAATTGTCTATTTTTTTTTTATTTAATACGCTTTTTATTAGAGTTTTATTCAAAATTAACTGCAAGATGTTTGATTTTTTTTTTTTTTCAAGAAAAATTAATTTATTTTATTAATCTTCAATTATTAATCTTGCAATATTTTATATAAAAAATCAGGATCTGATTAAAATTATTGATTAATAAAAATCGTGCATTTAATAATATATCTACGAAAAATCTGATAAAATAATTAAAATATAAATTACCATAATTTCTCTAATAAATATTAATATTTTAAATTAATAATAAGTATTGTAAAGTAAGTTTGTGAAAATATATACTGACTAGACATTTTATTCTCCGACAAAAAACTCCAAGATCTGGATCTTACCCGCAAAAAAAAAATAATTATTAATAAATAAGTAAAATAAAGTGTAATAATAATAATAATTAACAAGTTATTTAACTCTCGAGAAAATTACCAACAAATATTTACAGCGTTTAATTGAGAAAATTTCCTGAATGAATGAAAAAAGTAATAAACCGCACCGCGTAATATAATCCTGCTCTATGTAATTAATAAATAAAATGAATAGTGTAATTGTGGTATGTAATAATAGTTATTACTATTTTCTCAGTAGATCGGTTATATTATTATGTTATATGTTAATAATAATTAAATCGACATAGTAAGAAGGTAGGGATGGCTTGTTTGGATAACAACTTGAATATTCAAGTAATGTTACGTATACACGAGCGGTATGAGAAAGTGTACACATTTCTTTCTCCCGCTTTGGTGAATCTGAAAGAGGCCCAATACCGATCTCTGTGTCACACTTTTGATAGTTGTCTTTTAGTTGCTATCTGCAATAGTCTAAACGCAGCCTCCGTACCGAGCAAACCCGAATTTAGATTTTTATTTTTATAGTTTTATTATTTACTATTAACATAACAAGCTTTAACAATTCAAAACACATTACTTAATTATTTACATAATCGGTGAGTACAAAAACTAAAAGTCGAAAGTGAAAGTAAAGTATGTTAGATAATTTATCTTGTAGGATTTAATTTAATAAAGATAAAATAAAATTGTTTGATTTGAGAAAAATATTGTTTATAGAATTTTACTTGCGATTTTAAGGGTTCAGTTTGAACTTATTTAACAATTTGCTGGTTTTTTAGTGGGTACAATAATTGGGACATCCTTGTCAGGAATTGGGACATTTGTCGTAAAAGAAGTAATATCGGATCATAAAATCTTTATAATGTTAATAAAATATTTTATTTTTAAGTTTGATTTCCATTTTTACTTTTTCTTGAATTAAAAAAAAAAGAATTATTAGTTTTTAAATAAAAAAAGAAATTCACGGATTAAATCAATGAAATAAAACTGAATTTTTTCATTCTGTAATTTTTCAATATCTTCAAATTTTTTATTCTAAAATTTGCTTCGAATTGTGTAATTTTTTTTCTTTCCCCTTGTGTGATATTTCCAACAATCTAAACGATGGTAACTCACCAATACATTGAAATAATGCCCGGGAAATTTAAATATTCGTTTTATATCAATAACCTAAAATTTGTCAGAATCAAATTCAATTGACACATATTTCATATTAATTGTTTAAAGTTTTATGTATTATTTTAATTACATCATAAATAAAACTAATTATTAAATATACGTTTTTTTATATTATCTAAAACTTTACAATCATTAATAACATCTTAGTTGTTCAAATCACAATTGATTTAATGCCAGTGCTATAATAGGTTAACTGCTTCTAATGCTTTTTGATCAAACAATTTTTTATCATAATAATTATTGATATTATCACAAGTAATTAATTAATTAATTAATTAATCCTAGCATTGTTATTATTATTATTATTATTATTAATAAATATCAATTTTAATAATATGCACTGCATGTTTACTAATACTTATATTGATACAGCAAGGGTTATGTTTATATTTTTTATGATGATAAGGCTAAGTTGGTTTGCAAAATAACTATCTTATCGACCTCACACATATGCTCTTACACATAAAATATGCTCCGCCTAATGTCGTGCGAGCGAAGGGGAAATATTAAAGAGAAGGGGAAAAGATTGAGGGGAACGGAACTATTCACAGCGGAACTTTATAGAGATTTTACTGTACTTCTATTTTTTAATAATTATAATAATTGATTTCTATTGTTTGTCACATAGATCGAATACTTGATAATGTCAGACAAATCTTGATAATAAATTGTTTTATTAAATAAAAAAAAAAATATAATATGTTTGATGTAAACATCCTAAATTTTTATCACTAAAAAAAATTACACCTGTTATTTTCAAGCATAAATTTAAAAACATTTATACAAATATTTTTCTGATAAAATAATCGATTTTTCCTGAAATAGAATTAATATATTTTTATCTTTTATTTATTATTCTTCCAATTCTTCCGTAGAAACCGTAATCAGCATTACATCGACACGCAACGGAGGAAAAAGAATATTATCAGATCATGACAACACGTGTATGATTGCTGGGTCATGTCCATAGAAAAATTCCTTTTTATTACCATTCATTTGAGGGTTTATTTTTAGAGATACCCTGACGTCAAAGGGGGAAAAAAGCGCTTCGTTAAAAATTAATTGGTCCACTTAAGTCTGGGCCGTAAATTGCTAAAATCAATAAGATAAAAAATAATAAAAATGAATATTAAAGTCATAAAGACACTCACAATTTTACTGCTCGCAGTAATTAAATCCGCGAACAGTAAAAGCTTGTTTGAGCTGATGATGAGCTACGGATTGCAGAAAAGCTTTGATATTATCACAACACCTTTGCCGACTGTCGAGCAGTACGACTTTATAATAATAGGCGCGGGTTCAGGGGGATCTACTCTGGCAAATCGGCTGTCAGAGAACCGCAAGTGGAAGGTTCTGCTGCTGGAAGCCGGAAAACCGGAGGGGATTCTCAACCAAATTCCGATACTGGTGAGCAATTTTCAGCAGACGGATTATAATTGGGGATATCGAGTTGAACCGCAGAAGAATGCTTGCTTGGGTATGAAGGACCGTCGGTGTACTTGGCCGAGGGGTAAATCCCTCGGTGGCACCAGTACATTGAATTACATGATTCATACAAGAGGTAATAGAGTTGATTACGACACTTGGGAGGCTGCTGGTAATAATGGATGGTCCTATGATGATGTACTGCCTTATTTTATCAAAAGCGAGCGATTTAAAATTCCAGGTAACAATTTTTTATCTGTTAATCATAAGAATATCTTTTTTTTTTTTTTTAAATTAAATTTAGTAAAAATTTGGTTAGGTAAAAGACCCAATTATTATCTGTTTGACACTTGCAATTTAATTCCAATTAAAAAAATTAAATGTTCTTAAAATTTATAATTCAAAAATTGTATTTATTAATTTATTAGAGCTGATTTGTTTTTTTAAATTAAAATTAAATTATAAGTGTTAATAAATAGGCCAGTGTCAGTAACTGGGTCTTTTATCTTAATTGTCAATAATTATGTGGTACTTCTCCGTTTTTGTATCAATTTTTAAACTTAATGAATAGAATTTCGAAAATTTTTTTTAATGCTACAATTTATTCTTGATAAAAAAATAAGTATCAAATTTTATTAAATTCTGAAAATTTGATAATTTACACACTGAATAATTTTTTTTTAATCTATTTTAAAGCAGAACGTTAAAAAATGTTAAAATATTGAAAATTATTCAATTATCTCTACATCATTGATCAAATGTCAAAATTTACAATTTAAAAAAAATCTACATTAAAAAAAAATATATTAAATATCAAGAAAAAAAAGATAAATGGTAATTTTAAAATTAAAAAACTTTGAAAAAAATATAAATGTACAATTTTGTAAATTTTTGATAAATAATTTTAAACCAGAATGTTGAAAAAAGGTTAAAATATTGAAAATTATCCAACTATTTTTAAATCATTGATCAAATGTCAGAATTTATAAATTAAAAAAAAAATTCTACATTTTTTTTTAAAAAATAAGTTTTAACGAAAAATATAAAAAATGCCAAAAAAAAAAAAAATGGTAATTTTTAAATTTAAAAACCGAAAAAAGTATAAATATACAATTTTCTAAATTTTTAATAAATAATTCTTAAATTCGTCATAAAGAACAAAATTTAATAAAATTGTTAATTTTTATATTAAAATAACGATTAAAAAATTCTAAACAAAAATCTTTTATTCCAGAACCATACAACGCATCTTACCACGGCAAAGATGGTTATTTATGTGTAGAACACATTCCCTACCACATGCCGCTGTCAACAGAGTTCTTAAAAGCCGGAAAAAAATTAGGCTGGGAGATAATAGACTACAACGGCCCGGAACAAATAGGATTTTCGTATCTCCAAGTAAACATGGATCGCGGAGCGCGTTGTAGTGCTTCCCGGGCTTACTTAAAAGTTCGCCGGCCAAATTTAGAGATCGTAACTCTAGCACGAGTGACTAAAATCCTAATAGACTCCGACAGACGAGCTTACGGAGTGGAGTACATAAAAGACGGCAAGACCAGACAAATTCGCGCGACCAAGGAAGTGATTTCCTCAGCAGGAACTATCGACTCAGCAAAACTACTAATGCTCTCAGGAATAGGTCCCAGAGATCACTTGGAAGATTTGGGAATCCCCGTGATAAAAGACGCAAAAGTCGGATACAACTTGCTAGAACACGTCGGCTTTTTAGGGCTGACTTTCCTGGTAAATGCCAGCGTCACTCTGCTAGAGAAGACAATCATCAAGCCCCAGAACGCTTTGCAGTACATGATTGACCGTAGTGGCCCGCTTTCAATTCCCGGAGGAGCTGAAGCTATAGCTTTTATCCGCACAAAGTATGCTCAAGATTCTCGACCGGATTTGGAGCTGTTATTTGTCTCGGGCTCGATTCACTCCGACAATGGAGTCGCAGTTCGAAAAGGCCACGGTATCACTGACGAATTGTACAACGCGGTGTTCAAACCTATTGAAAATCGCGATGCTTGGTCAATCTGGCCCATCATGCAGCAGCCACGCAGTGTTGGAAAAATTACACTTCGCTCTAAGAATCCTTTTGATGATCCGATCATTCAGCCGAATTTTTTTACCCACCCCGCGGATATTGAGATTATTCTTGAAGGTGTGAAGCATGCGATCAAAATAGCAGCTACTGAAGAATTTCAGAAGTACAACAGTCGTTTGCACACCATTAAAATTCCCGGGTGTAGAGAGTTTGATTTTGCGAGCGATGATTACTTCCGTTGTGCTATCAGGCACTTGCCTTCGATGATGAATCACGAAGTCGGTACGGTAAAAATGGGCCCTCCTGAGGACCCAACTGCTGTTGTTGATTCTCAGTTGAGAGTTTATGGGGTTAAAGGTCTGAGGGTTGTCGACGCTTCGATTATGCCTACTATGCCCATTGGACATGTCAACGCTGGGATTTTTATGATTGGAGAAAAGGCAGCTGATATGATCAAACAAATGTGGAATTAAATTAATGGATCCATTTATTGTTGCTCAATAAATTAAATTGAATATTTTGAAGCTACGATAAGATATAGGATTATCTCTGTAATAAATATTGAATTTTTTATTTATTTTTTGTATTGATATGTTAAAATTATGTAAATAAATATATAACTACGTTGCAGCCACTGTGTGATTGCCGTGACTTGTGAACTATAAATAAATAAAATTTTGCTTTATTACATAATGACTTTTGATAATTGCACTGTGCTTTCTTAAATATTGACGTTTTTAAAGATATAAGCTCATCATGATGTTATACTCAACAAAAGCTTTCAATTGAGTACCCACATGAATTTTTTTATATATTTTTCATATATACATATATATTATATATATAAATATATGAAATGTATGAAAAATTGATATGGGTACTCAAATGAAAGGTCTCGACCAGTGTAATGTCAGGGTGAGCTTATATCTTTAAAAATGTCAACAGTTGACCAAATACAATGTAAATTCTTAACTATTGACGTTTTTAAAAATATAAGCTCATCCCGATGTTACACTCATCAAGAGCTTTCATTTGAGTACCCACATGCATTTTTGATATACTTTTCATATATACATATATATATAATATATATAAATATATGAAAAATTGATGTGGGTACTCAAATGAAAGGTCTCGATGAGTGTAACATCGGGATGAGCTTATATCTTTAAAAATCTCAATATTTCACAAGATAAAAGGTCATTTTTCAATTATGTATCCAAAGATAGAGCATTATCGAATTCAACCTAAATACTTATCATAATAAATTGACTGTCGGTGAAAATGATATGAAACTTTGAAAAAGCACAAATTTAAATCAAGATCTTTGCAATGACACTAAAAAAACCGATTTTTATTCCCTCAATATTATAGATAAATTGGTGAGTTAATAATATTGGGAATTTTTAAAATAAAAATCCATATTTACTCCGCTAAAATAAAACTCCAGATAGGAGTACTGATAATTCACCTTCAATTTTTTCGAGTGAGTTCAGAGCGACGTATTATAATTAATTGAGTTGTTTATATCATTCTGATAAAGATAAAAAGAGTTAGATAAAATCTATGAGGTATATTTAAATATTAAACAAACAGGATGGACTACGTAATTCTATTTCCATCCTTGAGTAAGTGGAATAGAACAAATAAAAAAAAAAAATAAACTCAAGTAATTAAGTAAATATAGCCTACGTCAATAGTATGCGTAGCGATAAAAGCTCTACCAATTGATAAGTATGAATCATACGCTTCCCTAGCGGATTCCTGGTGACGGTTAAACTACGGTCAAACGACGGTGAATTCACTTTACCGATGAAGGAAAGTCTATTGGCGGTCGAACAACCGTCGTTCGACGGTGAAAAATATTTAACATGGGCTCATGAAATGAAAAAAAAATTTTTTTTTTTTATTAATAAAATTTAGTGAATTTATTTTTGGTGACTAATTAAAAGAAAATGATTTATTATTGAGAATTCATGGAATAGAAATAATTATCAAAACTAAATTAAGTATCCGTAAAATACATGGTGATTAAAATGCATTTTTAACAGAAGTCTGGGATAGCATAACATGAAAATCCCTTGACTTTCAAACTGGTGAACCGAGTTCGATCCCCGGTCTGGGCGAAGTTATTTTATAATGAATTTTTTTTTTTTTTTAATTATTATCGTATACGCGAACATTTTACGAGCTTAATATCGATTATTCTGGGTGAATGAACCTATTTTCTTTCATCGGATTCCCACGATGACACGGTGAATCGACCGCAATGAGCTAGTTGTTTGTCAGTGATATGCGGGTGAATTGATGGTGAAATGTCGGTTAAATCACCGTAAATTCACCCACAAAAATAGTATATTACATACCTAGGCCAGTAAAATAAGAAAAGTCTCAGATCACATGTAATTGTTGGCCGAGGCGAAGCCGAGGTGGACAAACATGTGATCTGAGGCTTTACTTTTTACTGGCCAAGGTGTGTATACTATTTTTCTGCTCGACGTAACCGGAACGTGGCAACTTTGTTTAGCGCAGCGGCCAGAAAAAGGTATTTCTCGGATCTATAGTCGGTAAATCAATTGTCAAAAACGTTCACAATGACACCTGATATAGACCGTCAAATCACTTCATATATACTAATGTTTGACCAATGTTTGACCGTGAATTGACCATATTATAACCGTGGCGGTGAATCCGCTAGGGTTGGAATTTACTATCCCGGCATTCGTATAGACGTTCTATAGTATAGTACTAATATTTATGTCACCTGATGGCCCTTGTCAAACACTCTGAATAATACATTATCTCCATTAATAGATTAAATAATAATAATACTTCCTTCAACGGGAATATTTTTCACTGAAGCTAAATTAATTAGTGAAAAATTTTGGAGTAAATAAATAAACCGGTTATATTTGTTGGTAACTTCTATCCGGATGAAAAAAATTCTCTTGATAGCAAATAATTACCTAGAATAAAAAAAAAAATATGAAATCACAGTAGATAATTTATAAAAAAAATAAATAAATAAATAAATAAATTACCTGAGACGACGAGAGCTTCGTTTGGACCGCAAGTGTGGACGTTACCCATGTCTTGTCTATTAAATAAATCCTAGTAAACTTTTAGAAACTTTAATACAATAATAATTTAAGTATTTATTTAAATAGAGGCACAGTTATTTAGATAAAACACGCACTTTATACACTCGGCGGTGATTTTACAATAATATTTGATTTTTTAATAGATAGTAACTAGCTCCAGTAGCACTGAGAGCTAACCACCAACGCGATGAGATAATATGACTCTTTTTTTCCGTTGACACAACACTTGCAATTGTGAGAGTACTAGTACTAACACACTCGCACTTAGTTACGCGCTTAGTATATGTTTTACGAGTACGAGGAAATGCGCTATATAGTCATTACGGTCATTAGGTGCCAGTTCTAACTCACACATAAAGACACTTTACTTTTATTATTATTATTATTATTATTATTCTTTTGGCTCTGGGTATTTTTCCCATTCGGCCGTTGGCAGATTGTGTGGTGGGTAGCTGTGTTGGTTGAGAACTTGCCTTAACCTAGGCGGCGCTGGAGCGAACCTCCCCTGATAGCCACCTTACCTATAACTTACTGTCAATCTACGTCCGCAATTTGAAGCAAATTTGACGGAAAGAGTTGGCAAAGCGAGCGATTACCTATTAGTTACCTATAACTTACTCTCCAAATAGACGTCAAAACTTGCTGTACAAGCCCCAGACAACATCCAAGTCAGAAGGATTTCTTAAAGATGTCTTTTCAAAGACTTCCTTGATAACTCCAAATATGACGTCTTAAAGACCTCATTTTTCGGAACTCTTAATTAAGAAGTTTTTTTTTTTAAGTTCTATAAGACATCACAGATATGAGCTCTTTGAGAAGTCGTTTTTCCGACTTCGTAAGAGGTCAAAAAAATGAGCTGTTTAAGAGGTCTTTTTTTGGACTTTCCAAGACATCAGAAATATGAGCTCTTTAAGAGTTCTTTTTTTCTGACTTCGTAAGACATCAAGAATAGGAGCTCTTGAATAGGTTTTTTTTTCTGATTTTGTACTTCGTCAAAATATGGGACTTAGAAAAATTTTTTTCACGTTATTAAAGAATTTTTAAAATGATAAAAAAATAAAAATAATCGCATTCGAGTGAACTCATTTCGCTGTGTATTTATTTTTGTATTATAAAAATATTATCGTAAATAGCAAAACGTTCAGTAATTCTACTTATTAAAAATTAAATCGATAATTAAATCGAAAAGTATTTTTTTTTATTTTTGGGTAGAAAAGTTAATATCAAGTTTTTTATCGTTGCTATTCGCTCCGAGGGCAACTAATGCACTCACAGAAAATGTAAGTGTATTACGCGTCTGTGTATATCCGTGAGTGGGAGTGAAGTTCCGATTTTTATCGCAGATGTCGCGTCTTATGGGAAATAATATGGGATTTTCTTGGGTACGAAGTTATTAAAATTGTCACCTCGAGCGCTAGCCCTGTTGCCCTCGGGGCGAATTGTAGTTAAATTTCCTTTCAACTTTACTACAATTTGACGGAAATACTCTTTCTATAAAGTTTCGGTCTTCGGGGTAGGAAACTATTCAAAATAGATTTAAAGGGGCGTGGCTTATTTCTTATAAACCAATCAATCTAAACGATGGTAACTCACCAATACATTGAAATAATGCCCGGGAAATTTAAATATTCGTTTTATATCAATAACCTAAAATTTGTCAGAATAAAATTCAATTGACACATATTTCATATTAATTGTTTAAAGTTTTATGTATTATTTTAATTACATCATAAATAAAACTAATTATTAAATATACGTTTTTTTATATTATCTAAAACTTTACAATCATTAATAACATCTTAGTTGTTCAAATCACAATTGATTTAATGCCAGTGCTATAATAGGTTAACTGCTTCTAATGCTTTTTGATCAAACAATTTTTTATCATAATAATTATTGATATTATCACAAGTAATTAATTAATTAATTAATCCTAGCATTGTTATTATTATTATTATTATTAATAAATATCAATAATATGCACTGCATGTTTACTAATACTTATATTGATACAGCAAGGGTTATGTTTATATTTTTATGATGATAAGGCTAAGTTGGTTTGCAAAATAAGTATCTTATCGACCTCACACATATGCTCTCACACATAAAATATGCTCCGCCTAATATCGTGCGAACGAAGGGGAAATATTAAAGAGAAGGGGAAAAGATTGAGGGGAACGGAACTATTCACAGCGGAACTTTATACAGATTTTACTGTACTTTCGTGTGTTGGTGGACTTCAAATCCAACATGGCGTTCGCGGCGCACGTTCGCGCTCTCTGCTGCTCACTAAACTGACTACTCATCGCGATCTCGTTCGGAATTGAGACTTAAGATGGCGGTCAAGTGAAATTCTACTCGGGACTTTATCATGTGATTTATTGTATTTATTTGAGAAAATTTTGTTGGAATGACAGAAAGTAAGTACTATTTAATTTAGTAATTAATTTTTATGATATTTAATTAAATACCTATGATAATAATTAATTAATAAGAATTTTTTAAAAACTTTAACACTTTTATAACAATTGATGACTTGCAATTTAAGCTTCAGAGCTAATTACACTACCGCAAATTTGAACATTTTATTTTATAATATATATTAATTAAAATTGACAGAAATTTAATGATTTTTTTAATATTTTTATATTTAAAAAAAAATTAAAAATATAAATTTCCGGAAGAAATTTATTTATTTATTTAATTAATTAATTAATAATTAATAATTATTTAATTATATTAATTAATAATTGATAATTATTGAATTAATTTATTTATTTATTTAATTGATTTTAAAAATGATCAACTGTCTGCTAATTTTGTTATAAAAATAATGCGTCGTAAAAAAATATGAACTTGACGCATGCGCAGTAGCGTTTCCCGCCAAAAATATACCAGGAGCGCGGGAGAGTTGCGCAGTCATCCAGGGAGTAGCTCGGCCATCTTATAACTGCGTAGTCATGGGCTTAAGCCTGCTCGGAGCGGTCGGCGGTGACAGATGAAATTAAATTCAAGTTATAAGTTAGTTATATGTCATTAATTATTTAATATTCTTAAATAAAACAATTAGCTGATTAATTAAGCGGCAATTTATTAATAATAATAATAAATTAGCGGAAGAGTAAGACAGTAAGTATTGTCAGGGACTAAAAATTGATAAATATATAAAATACTGAGCTGAAAAAAAATTATTTAATAAAAAAATTAAAAAGAATATTTAATTTTAGTGTTTTAGAATTTTATATTTTTTATGTAATGTCTATTAATTATATAAATTATATTTTTTTTATTAATTATCATTAAAAATTAAAAAAATAAATATCTGTAGAATTTAATTTAAAGAAAAATTGGATTCGGCGCATGCGCAGTAGCAGTTCCCGCCAAAACGCCGAAGGAAGCTTCTAGAGTTGCGCAGTCATTGAAGGAGTGGCTCCGCCATCTTATAACTGCGTAGTCACAGGCATAAGCTTGCTTGGAGCGGTCGGCGCTGACGGATCAACACAAATTCAATTCACAAGTCAGTTTTATGTCATTAATTAGGCTCTAAATATATAAAATTTTTAAATAAAATAATTATTTGATTAATTAAGCGAAAATTTATTAATAATAATGATAATAAATTAGCGGAAGAATAAATTAGAGAAATAAAGTATTGTCAGGGACTAAAAATTAATGAAAATTAAATTAGCCGACACTCAATAATTTTTAATTTTTTTTTATTAATTAAAAATTATAATATTTTCAACAAATTAAATTATAATAATTTTAAAATGTCGGCTAATTTAATTTTTATTAAAAATTAATAAATACATAAAAAATTGAGTTTAAAAAAAAATATTTAATTTTAGTATTTTAGAATTTTAATTTTTTTATAATTACGTTAATTAATTACATAAATTTTATTTTATTAAATTAATTATTGATAAATAAAAAATGAAATATTTTATGATTGTAGAATTTGAAAGAAAATTCGATTCAGCGCATGTACAGTAGCAGTTCCTGCCAAAACACCGAAGGAAGCTTCGAGAGTTGCGCAGTCAGCGAGTGAGTGGGTCGACCATCTCACACCTGTGTAGTTCCAGACTCAAGCTTGCTCCGACCGGCCAGCATTGACGGATCAAAACAAATACAAGTCAGTTTTAAGTGACAAACTTTGCTCTAAATCGCAAAAAGCCTTAAATAAAATAATTACCCAGTTAATTTAGTGACTAATCACTTGTAGTGACAATGAGCCGACGTAAGCGAGCGAAAGTGAGTATTGTCAGTGGTTAAAAACTGGTAAATTACTAAAATAGTGATTTGTTTACATTAATGTGATTTGTTTATTAGGTTGAATACAGAGAGATGGAGGAAAAATACAACCAAGTTGAGGATGAAAATGCATCGGATACTTCTGATAAGTCCAAGACGGGACTGGGGACACCGGAGAAGAAGAGCTTCAACGAGGCTCCAAAAGTTGTTGAGCCGGTTCCAGCTCCAGCTGCTGCTCCGGTCCAACCTGCTCTGAAAGTCGACGTCAAGGACGAGGAAGAGCAGGATAGCGACCACGAAGATCCTCATGGTGAAATTTTATTTTTTATTTATATAATTATTACCTAGCAAATTTAAATTTTGATTTAAATAATGACTTTAGTTAAATTGCACTGTACTTTGTTAAATATTGACGATTTTAAAGATATAAGCTCATCCTGATGTTACACTTATCGAGAGCTTTCATTTGAGTACCCACATGCATTTATGATATATTTTTCATATATACATATAAATATAATATATAAAATATATGAAATATATCAAAAATGCATGTGGGTATTCAAATGAAAGGTCTTGATGAGTGCAACATCAGGATGAGCTTATATCTTTAAAAATGTCATTGGTTGACAAAATACAATGTCATTTCTTAACTATTGACATTTTTAAAGATATAAGCTCATATTGATGTTACATTAATCAAGAGCTTTCATTTGAGTACCCACATGCATTTTTGATATATTTTTCATATATACATATATATAATATATAAAATATATGAAAAATTGATGCGGGTACTCAAATGAAAAGTCTCGATGAGTGTAACATCGGGATGAGCTTATATCTTTAAAAATGTCAATATTTCACAAGATACAAGGTCATTTTCTTAATTGTGTATCTAGAGATAGAGCATTTTCTAATGCAGCCTATATGATTGTTAATTATTAATTTAAAATTATTTTTTCTTCGATAAAAATAGTCAAAGAGCTGTTAAATGGATTGGAAGGCGCGGCATTTCAAAGCAGGCTACCATTTGACAAGCTGACATCGACGGAAGCTGTTTGCTTCCCGGATGTCTCTGCAGGACCTCCGCAGACTCAGAAAGTCTTTTTGCACATCAGAAATCGCTTGGTAAATAAAAAGAATTTATTTTTTTCAATTTAAAAGGATCAAATTTAGAAGAGAAAATTTTTTTCAGCTTCAACTGTGGCTGGAGAATCCTAAGCAGCAGTTGGTGATCGAGAACGCTCTTCCAGCAATAGAAGCGCCTTATAACAGTGATCCAGTGCTGACTCGTCGCATCCATGCGTTCCTGGAGAGACACGGTTTCATTAATTTTGGAGTTTTCAAGAGATTGAAGCCGATTCCTGAGAAAAAGATCGGAAAGGTTGTAATCATTGGTGCTGGGATTGCTGGACTGGCTGCTGCGCAGCAGATGCAACAATTTGGAATTGAAGTTATTGTTCTGGAGGCTAGGGTAAGATTTTTAAAAATTTTTTTTTAATTTATCTAATTTTTTAAGTTTATTTAAATTCTAAACTGAAATATTTATAAACGTTTTACAGGATCGTGTGGGAGGAAGGATTGCTACATTTCGTAAAGGATCTTACATCGCTGATCTTGGAGCCATGGTCGTTACTGGACTAGGTGGTAATCCTGTGACCACTCTCAGCAAGCAATTTAGTATGGAGTTGCATAAAATAAGGCAAAAGTGTCCTTTATATGAGAGTGATGGTCAAACGGTACGTGTTTTTATTATTTGAAAAAAAAAAATTTTAATTTAATAGTAAATTATTATACAATCACTCTAAAAATGACCATAACTCCTAAAATATTGATTTGTGGCGAAAATCATAAAAAACCAAAATTGTAGCTTAGAAAATTTCCTATAAAAAATTATCTTATACTATGAAGCTATCTACAATATTTCAGGAGATACAGATCTTTATTTAGTCTCTAAAAAAATTACTATAACTTATAAAATATTGATTAAAAAAAAAATTATTATTATCATTATTAAAATTAAATTGATAATTAATGAAATAATTAATTAGTAAAATAAATAATAATTAAATATTAATTATAATTACAGGTACCAAAAGATAAAGACGAAATGGTAGAGAGAGAATTCAACCGTTTGTTAGAAGCGACATCATATCTCTCACACCAATTAGACTTTAATTATATCGGCGGTGCGAGTACTACAGGACAAACTGGTAATACAAAGCCGGTGTCATTAGGACAGGCTCTAGAGTGGGTAATTAGATTACAAGAGCAAGGAGTTAAACAACGTCAAGTATCTCATTTACGTTCGGTTTTGTCTCTGCAAGGCAGACTCCTCGCTAATCAACAACGGGTACCTTTTTCATTACCTCGATTAACCATCTGGTTAATTAAAAATCAATTCTCAACAATAATACTCATTAAATTAAACACAAATACTCTTAACTTACATTTACAGATGATTTCCATCAAAGAAAGACTCGCTGAGCTCAACAAACACCACAGAGAAATGTCTGAGCGCAAGCCTCAAGTGCATGACATTACCCACGAGTTTGTGCTTCGCTCTAAAATGCGCGACCTGCATTACGCTTGCAAGGTAAATTATCAATTTACTAATGTACTGTTAAAATTAACTACCAGGCGCTAATTATTTTTTATTCATTAAATTTTTAAAAGGAATGGGATCAACTTGCCGAGCAGCAGAAGGAAATAGAAGCTAAATTACAAGAGCTCGAGGCTTCGCCTCCAAGGTAATAATAATCTATATCATTAAGAGAATAAGCAAAATTTTCTGACCGGTGTATTTATATGATAAAATGGGTATTTATGGTTAAAATTGCTATTGTTGGAAAAGTCAACATGGAGTTGTGTCTTTTCATGATTTCATATCATTCTCATCAATGGTCAATTTATGATGATAAGTATTTAGGCTGCATTCGAAAATGCTCTATTTCTAAACAAATAATTAAGAAATGACCTTATATCTCGTGAAATATTAACATTTTTAAAGATATAAGCTCATCATGATGTTACACTCATCAAGACCTTTCATTTGAGTACCCACATCAATTTTTCATATATTTATATATATGATATATATATGTATATATGAAAAATATATCAAAAATGCATGTCGGTACTCAAATGACAGCTCTTGATGAGTGTGACATCGGGATAAGCTTATATCTTTAAAAACATCAATAGTTAAAAAAGTACAGTGCAATTTAACAAAAGTCCTCACTTAATATTTTTTTTCTCTTTTTATTAATAAACTAATTAAATAATTTTATTTTCCGAATTAGTGACGTGTATTTATCATCAAAGGATCGTCAAATTCTGGATTGGCACTTTGCGAACTTGGAGTTTGCAAACGCAACATCGCTTTCGAACCTGAGCTTGAAGCACTGGGACCAGGACGACGACTTCGAGTTTACAGGGAGTCATCTAACCGGTAAGTAGGTCCTGGAGCCAAACAATAACTATTATTTATAAATGTCGTCGATGGAAAATAAATTTCCAATAGAATGTTGTCATTAAATTGGAAGCGTTCCGCTAATCGAGGAGCGTAATATAAAAGGAAGGCCAGCGACCCGGCATACTGTAGTAGTAACTGCAGGGTTGTAATCCGTGTTCAGCTAGTAAGTATGAACTAGCTTAACACACCGAGAGATAGAGATAGAGTACCGTCAGGGCAATACAACTAACAACAAATATTGAACAGTCGAGCTTAAGACAGTAGTGGTGGGTGCTATGCTGTGGAATGAAGGAAAGAGAATTGTACAGTCTTGTGTATTATACGCGTGGTCGTGGTATGTATAGTAGTTACTCTCTCCTGTTCCGGAAAAGATACTGCACTGGTGGAAGATGGTGTAGATAACGCGTGAATTATTCCCGCGTTCCATCCCCCTCTCGTCTATAGATAGAGCTGATAGTTAATGTAACCTCTTTGTCGTACCCTGGTCTCCCTCATTTTCCTTCTTGAGCTTCTTGAGCTTCTTGAGCTGGCTGGTTAACTACCAGCTACTAGTACAGTTAACCTGAGGACGACCGGCACCGGTACAACCGTCCAAAGGCAATATGTCTCCGAGGTTCTCTCTCCCACAATTTCCGCGCCCAAGTTGACTTTATCAAGCTTATTAAAAACCGATAGGGGAGATCCCGTGTAGATATACTCTATCCGTTCGAGGATCAAGAAAGGGAATACGCCTGCTCCCCCCTCCTCCACCCCCCTCACAGAGCTGTTACAATACTTATACTAATACTAGTGCTCAGAATCTGTACGCCTTTATCTTCGGTATCCACCTTCTCAGATCGGTGGATTAATTATTGAAATACTCGTGATTATTACTTTAGATCCAATCGGGGATTTATTTTCTTGGGTGTTATTATTATGAGGGTAAATACACGGTAAATCGATTATTATTTGAAAAATTTTTGGATTATAAATTTTTATTTAGATGGAAAATTTTATTTGCAAAATTATCAAAAAATTTATCTTAAGTTTGTAATTATTAATTGTTTTTCTAAAAAATTTGACTGAAATATTAAACCAAATTTTTATAAATATAATTTATTTATTATCAAAATGCTCTATCTCTAGATACATAATTAAGAAATGACCTTTTATCTTGTGAAATATTGACATTTTTTAAGATATAAGCTCATCCCAATGTTACCCTCATCAAGACCTTTCATTTGAGTACCAACATCAATTTTTCATATATTACATATATTTATATATACTATATATATATGTATATATGAAAAATGTATAAAAAATTCATGTGGGTAGTCAAATGAAAGCTCTTAATGAGTGTAACATCAGGATGAGCTTATATCTTTAAAAATATCAATAATTAAGAAATGACCTTGTATCTAGTCAATTACTGACATTTTTAAAGATATAAGCTCATCTCGATGTTACACTCATCGAGACCTTTCATTTGAGTACCCACATCAATTTTTCATATATTTATATATATAATATATATGTATATATGAAAAATATATCAAAAATGCATGTGGGTACTCAAATGAAAGCTCTTGATGAGTGTAACATCGGGATGAGCTTATATTTTTAAAAACGTCAATATTTAAGGAAGTACAGTGCAATTTAACTGAAGTCATTATTGAAGAAAGCAAAATTTTATTTATTCATAGTTTACAAGTCACGGCAGTCACATAGTGCTAATGTGATCTTATTGTAAAACAATAAAAAATTCTAAATTGTATAAAAAAAAATGTAAAAATAGCAATAAAAAATCTCCAGTAAAATATAAACAGATTGTCGCGTTAGACTAAAAATACCAGAAAGATAAATTTTGGATTGACTCTTTAAAAGCTACCGGTTTGGTTAAAAAAGTACTAAAGCGTACAAGGTATCCCATATATTACAAAACATACCCAATAATTAAACTAAAAGAATTTTATTTTCTTTTAATGAGCAATTTTGGTTAATTAAAAATAACTTTAAAAAGTATCTCGGAGGATTTCTTGTCTAAAATAAATTAAAAATATTTTAAAATAAAATAATTACGTAAACTTGGTTTGTGTCGCCTAATACCAAGGTCCGTAGCCTACTAATATAAGTTAGTAGTAAAATAGAACCTCGACTCGCAAGTACCACCTAAGTCAACGCTAATAAAGATCAGTATCACATACCGATCACATACTCCGGGAATGTCATCGGCTGTTAAAAGTTAATGCCGCTCGGCATTAAAATTCTAAACTTTACCTCACCGATATTTCACAAACTGTTTCATTAAATAAACATTACTACACGAGTATCCATTAACAGACTCTGTACTTCCTATAAATAAATTATAATAAGATTATAATAAAATCTGTAAATCTGCTTTGCTAACATTTTATGTAACTCTAAGTAATTTTAAAGTTTCTCATTAAATTATTATTTCATTTTAGATATTTAAATTAACACATTTATTTTATAACACCCATTAAATAATTCATTATTCAGTGTTAAGTACTCATACTTTGTTTCGATTATTCAGTAAATCATTTTTTTTTATTAATTTTTTTACTATTTAAAATCCATTAAATTTAACATTTCATTTTGTGAATAAATTAATAAATAAGGTAACTAAATCAGCTTTGCTTGACTTTTTAATAGATCTTTAAGTACTCTACAAGCTAATTATTGAATTATTCAATTAAAATATCCATATTAGTACGTTTACTTTTGTTTTTCTTAATGAAAAAATTTTTAAATTAAAAAAATGAATTTTATTTCATTAAACATAGTATAGTTTATAATTTACGAGCAATCTTGCAGTCACTATGTGACTGCCGTGACTTGTAAACTATAGAAATTAAAATTTTGCTTTATTAAAAAATGAATTTTGTTAAATTGCACTGTACTTTCTTAAATATTGACGTTTTTAAAAATATAAGCTCATCCCGATGTTACACTCATCAAGAGCTTTCATTTAAGTACCCACATGCATTTTTGATATATTTTTTATATATACATATATATAATGTATATAAATATATGAAAAATTGATATGGGTACTCAAATGAAAAGTCTCGATGAGTTTAACATCATAATGAGCTTATATCTTTAAAAATGTCAATAGCTCACGAGATAAAAGGTCATTTCTTAATTATTGACATTTTTACAAATATAAGCTCATCCTGATGCTACACTCATCAAAAGATTTCATTTGAGTACCCACATGCATTTTTGATATATTTTTCATATATACATATATATAATATATATAAATATATGAAAAAGTGATGTGGGTACTCAAATTAAAGGTCTTGATGAGTGTAACATCGGGATGAGCTTATATCTTTAAAAATGCCAGTAGTTCACAAGAAAAAAGGTAATTTCTTAATTATGTATCTAGAGATAGAGCATTTTCGAATGCTGCCTAAATACTTATCATAATAAATTGACTATCGGTGAAAATGATATAAAACTATGAAAAGGCACAATTCAAGTCAATACCTTTACAATGACACTAAATTTTACTAAAAATATACATTTTATCATATGACTATCCTGGACCCAAAATTTTTCTTATTCTTTTAATAGATTTTTCTTATCCTCGTAATATAGATAAAGTTAGTATTTATTAAAAATTATTTTCTACATTTTATTTTATTTTACTACTCAATTTATTTTCTTAGGTTTTTTATTAACTGTAATTTTTTTCATGTGTGTAGTTTGGAAATAAAAAATTCTAATCATAATAAATTTTTCGAGATTAAAAATCATAAAATTTGCCAAACTAGATAGAGAGTAAACAAAAATAAATTAGAGCATAAAAAAAGGATCGACGTGCCAAAAAGATAATCCAGCGGTGATAAAAAAGTAAATAGTGCCAGAAAAGAGAAACTAAAAAATGTTAAACGATAAAATATGCAAAAAGTAAATAAGATAAATATATTTACTTGGATGAAAAATAATCGGCGTATAAAATAAAAGTGGTAATCATTAATCCGTATAAATTTTCATGGAACATAATTCGGTTAGATTAATCAGACAGTCTATTGGAATTTTTTATTTTAATGCCGTCGTTAAGTAACTAAATTTTAAAATTCGATGCTCAACTCTATCATGTTCTGTTAAAATGTTGTTTATATATTATTACTTATACGTGTATGTTTAAATACGTGTGATATAAGGTAGACATGACGAGTAAAGAGACAAAACCTAGACGAGGTAGACGAGAGTGCGTGGGTCGGTGTATCATCAAGATAAGATAAATTATATTTTATGAATAGAAATCAAAGTTAAATAGGAATCCGTTTTACGACCTACTAGTAATTTGTATATCTCTCCAACCAAATACATTATTTACGTAATCAAACTGTTACAAGTTTCTCGTATGGTACTGTATATATGTCACTCGGGAGTATTTACATACATTTATCTCCTGGGTTTTTTGTTTTTTTTTTTACACACTGACACATTAACCCCTCGCTGGGATTTTTGTTCTATTCTGATTACGATCTTCAGTGTTTTCATTTTTTAGGGAGTAGAAAATTTAATTTAATAAAAAGTACTCTTATCGAAGAGTTTTTTAATTATTAATCAATTTATTTCTTTAGGAATTAATTAATTACAAAACATTATCAATTTTTTTTTCGCAAAAAAATAATATTTAATTAATTTTATAAGTTTTTTTTGTTAATTATTGTTAAAATTTTTCTTTCTTTTATTAATTTTTCATTTATGGAGTGCTTAATTCATTTAAATTAATTTTAAAGCCTCCGAAAAAAATTAATTTCTTCTCTTTAATTTATTTATAAAATATAAATTTGATAAAATAATTAAATGACATTTAATTTAGCTGTCACTCGACAATTTTTTAATTTTTTTTAACACAAAAATTTGTTCCAAAAAATGATTTTTAAAAAATTGCATTTTTAATTTATTAAAATTTCTACATGTCCATTTTTTTAATAATTTTTTTTGACACAATTTATTAAAAAAATTCTCAAGTGATAGCTAAATATAATGTCATAATAATAAAACTAAAGACTGTAATAAAAAAAATTAAAATTAATTAATTATGAAACAATATCGATTTTTATCATT